CCCAGCGCCCCTCACAGCACAGACACCCTGTCACACACTGCATCCCAGCGCCCCTCACAGCACAGACACCCTGTCACACACTGCGTCCCAGCGCCAGTCCAGACCCCTCACTGCACAGACATGATCACATGATCTGACACCCCTCAATTGCTTCATATTCACACTTTATAACTCTCTCAGGCGCCCAGTTTATTTCAGCGCACTTACATCAGGGTCACACTCTGCCATAGCCTCCCCCAGGTCAGAGTCCAGGCCCCCAGTGTAGCTGTGCTCAATCTTGTTTTTGGCGCCACCCTGTGGTGAAGGGATGTGCTGCACACACATGTCCACAAAGCCTAGCACAGGAAGAGAAGAAGAAAACCTTATTTTCAGAGCACCAGCACCAGCAGGGGGCGGGGGGTCAGAGCGCCGTACCTGTGAACTCCCCGAAGAAGCGGTTGCAGACAAGGCGCAGCAGCGGCCGGATGTTGAGCTTCAGCTCCTCCTTGGTCAGGTGGATCCCCAGCTCGTCCAGCACCCGGGGCAGAGAGGTGTCCACGTCGCCCACCACCTGTCGCAGGAGCACCATTACAGCAGACAGCCAGGACGCCTGTCTAGCTGACATGCTATCTTCAGCTTCGAGCTGCTCAATAATAGCATCAGCACCAGCAATTCTGAAGTCTGAATCCTGGAAGTATTATGGGCATCACCGCTTTTCACATGGACCAGGAGCAGACATGTGCATCACCGCCGAGGAAGACTAGAAGCACACCTGAAGGGCAACCCGCTGCAGAATGAGGTTTTCATTCTCACCCCCAAAAAAACACAAGACCTCCATCTTCAGGCAGGATCCGGTACTGCATGAGTCGAAGCAGCACAACCCCCCCGATCCCCAGCGGCGTGCTCTCACCTGAGACAGTATTTTATACAGTGGCTCCAGTACAAACTCCACAAAGCTGCGCTGAGAGTTGCTGCTGGGAGCTTTCTTGGTGAACCTCCTCCTGAAGAGCACGAAATACAGATCAGTGAAACAGAAGGCACATTGACTGTGAGCCTGAGAATGTTCCTCAGGGCCCCGAGCTCTCTCAACTACTACCAATTTAATCGAGAAAGACACACAACTATGCAAAAACAGTCAGGATTTCTGACTCATCAAAAACAAAAAAGGAGAAACAGCCAGTCATCATCTTTCCTTGTAAGGCTGAGGCTTACTCAAAGGCCAAGCAATGTTACTTCTAACTTGAAATACTGGGCAGCAATTTAAATACAAAAAGACTCATAGCTTTGTAGTAGTAATGTGGAGATTGGACTTCTAAGATCGCAGTTACCATCCTCAGTTAATTGCAAACAGTCTCATTTCTCTGTGCATCCAAGGAGAACCCATTCGGCTGCAGTCTGCTCCGGGCCGTGCATTTCCCATCACCGCCTACAAACAGGATGTGAAGACCAGCTGTTCACACTCACGTTTTGGGATTGAAGTAAACGTCCCCCCAGAGCCTCTTGGCGAACTCTGTGTAGTTGATATCCCCTTGAAACAAAAAACAAGAAACAGATAAGCTCAGCAGCTGAGCAGCAGGACTGGGAGAAGCGCAATTCAACGTGGACAACAGTCACACATCCCTTCCATCTTTACACGGCCCACAGCACGTTACAGCCTCAGGCCACTGGCAAAATAGTCTTATTATAAAACCATGGCATGAAGCCTCAGCTTTCACGTAAGTGCAGGAAAGCATATGAAACACGAGGATGTGAGAGCTGATGACCCTGTGGCCCAGAGATCTGGGGTCAATGGCCTGAGCTCCGCAGGCAGTGGGGGTGGAAAAGTGTGGCTCACCGTAGGTGTCGGAGTAGATCTTGGCGAAAGAGCCCAGCGTGAAGCAGATGCTGTACTGTGAGCTGGCAAAACACACGTTGCCCAGCAGTGGGGACACCATTAGGTTCTCATCAGTGGTGTACATGCTGAGACAGGGGAGAAAACATTTGAATCTTTTTTTTTAAAAAAAACAAGCTTTTATGTGTTAGCAAAAAACAGATTACTTTAAAAATCAGACTGAATTTGGTAGAATTGCATTTTTAACTCCTTTTGCTCCAACGATGGAGTTAAGCCTAGGTGCATTGTTTACCAGGTAGTAACTAAAAATCAGGATTTAAAAAAAAAGTATTTTCTCTCCTCCACCCCATTTTACAAGCCACCTAGCCCTAGGAGAGTACAGCTGCGTCAGCGCGGCTGACTGCACCCAGGCTGGGGGGGGAGAGGGAAAACAGGAGAGCCGCAGGCTGCCCTCCGGGAGCCGGGGTCAGGGGCCGCACCTCAGCAGGCCGTTGACCTCGTCCACGATGTGCCTCAGCTTGTAGTAGGCGTCGGTGGGCGGCAGCTTGAGCTCCACTATGAGCCGGTCGATCTTGTTGATGCAGACGGTGACGGCCAGGCGCTCCTGCACCGCGTGCTTGATCAGCCGCTCCGTGTTCAGCATCACCTGGAAAGCGAGCACGCAGAGTCGGGCTGAAAGGGCCGTCACAGCCGGGATTCCAACAGCAGCAGAGAGAACATGGATAAGATCTAACGCAATGCGCACAAATAACCTTTAACTGCTGTTTTTTTCTTATTACTTTCATGTCGGCACATCCTGCATGGAAATATAGTAACAGAAACTATCCAAGGCAGATGACTCACTCCTTCTGCAGCATCAATAAAGAGCACGATGCCATCGGAGATGCGGATTCCTGAGGTCACTTCGTCAGAGAAGTTCACATGGCCTGGAACAGGGAGAGATCACATATATCAAGACATCAGAAACACAGTCGCAGGGCTTGTTTCAAACAAACTGAGCGGCTGAATTATTAAGATGACATTCTGGGAATCTTGAAGAACTGCCTGGACTGGATTCATGAATCAACTAGCAAATCTACAAGATGGGCCGATGAACTCCTAGACTGCTTTAGTTCCGTTCTAATTAACGTGATCTATTACATTTTTATTCAATAATTATATTGATCACAGGATTTACAAATTGGAGAAAAAAGGTGAAATCCACATGCTAAACAGCTTTAGATGAATAAATATTAATAAGGATAGCAAATGTAAATGACAAATAATAAATGCTTTGAAAATAATTAATCAAATCAACAAGATATCTATAGTCCTAAAACCTAATGTTTTAAAATGGAATATACCATGTCCGTGTTCTTCAGACTTGTAGTTAGCATGAGCAGTTTCAAGGTGCAGAAGACAAGTAGAGCTACATGGCTCAACATTAGATGACTACTCACACCAATACTATTGTATGATAGTACAATAATAGGATCTGATAAACGTATCTGTGGTCACAGGCAGTTTCACCCCATGCCTGAGCCCAATCTCTCCCATCTGGTGCCCAGATGTACCTGGAGTGTCCATGATGTTGAACAGGTAGGACTTGCCCCTGGAGTCCGGCAGCACCATTGTGACCGGAGTGCTCTTGATGCCCACTCCTCTCTACAGAAACAAACCCGCACACAGGATCAACATTCCAGTTAATGAAGCCTGAAAACTGAACAGCACCTAACACTACATAAGTACAATATTGATTAACTTGACTAAGTGTTCAATAGAGCTCAAAATCTGGTGTTACTGGTAGGAAATGTTTAACCCTCCTGCACAGGTATAAAACCACTCACGATTTAGGAAAACTAGGAAAATCGTAGTATCTACACACTACCCAGAACTCTGCATGAAGTATGATTTTCCATTCCTAAATGGAAAGAATGGAATTCATACAGGTTTTCTCCTTACCTCCTGTTCTGTGAAGAGGATGTCAGTGTACCGAAGCTGCAACACAGAAAATAATAATTATTCCTGTTAAAACAGGTGAAAATGGTGACGACTCTGTGTACAATCACCTCCTACATTGAGGATGCCGTTAAGGACTTGGCAATAAGGGTGTATAAAATAAACACAGGTGATGAGACATACTGCAATTTTCCAACATTTATCTATTTTCTAATCTCTCCAATATAGGGTCATGGGGGAGCTGGAGCCTCATCGTGAGGAGCAATAGCCGCAAGACGGGGTACAGCCTGCGCAGGACACCAGGATCGTCACTGGCAGAGAGACGCACTCACACCAGGCCAGTTTCCCCAGAAGCCAATTAACATGTCAGCATGTCGACTGTGGGAGGAAACCCACACAAACACAGGGAAAACATGCAAACTCCACACAGAAAGCACCCCAGGAACTGAACCCAAGGCCCCAGTGCTGCAAGGCAGCAATGCTAAAAAATTAAAATATTAATGAGAAACAGTAAATGAAAGCGAATCTCTATAAGCCTCCCCCTTGTGTCTGAATACTCACGTCCATGTCATCGCGCTTGCGGATCTCGGGGTGCGTCTGCTCGATGAGACAGTCCACGAAGCAGGTCTGGGGACACAGACAGCAGGCCGTCACACACCAGCACTGGCCAGCCCTGCCAGGGCACACTCACTCCCGCACGGAGCCAGGAAACGTGCCCGAGCCTTGTGCTGCATAACCAATGAACTACTGTGGACCTCGGCCAAATCTCAAATCAGGACCTGATTATACTACTGCAAAGGTGAAAAACAAACTTGAAGTGCTGCATACAGAAGCACGTATCCTTTCTTCAGAAAGATGGACTCTAGTCCGCATCAGTGAGCAACATGCTGAAGAGTTACAGGTAAACTGCATTCCCCTGAGGACCTTGTCCGTCAGGGGGGAAACTGCTAACCAACAATCCTGCATTAGACTTACTTTGCCATGATGCAGGTGTCCGCAAAGTGTGACATTTCGGATCAGCTCTGGACTGTCCATCAGATCGGCTAGAAACCTGCAGAAAGGAAGATGAGGCTACTTAAAGGAACTGAAATGTTTAGCCTTCAACGGAGCTACAAGGGGAATTCAGACAGAGTGACTTAAAACTCTCACAAGCAATGACAATGTCAACCCAGAGGACTAGTTTAGAAGTGAAACGAGGATTCAGGAACAAGTGAAAAATATGACACTTCGTTACACGAAGTGTGGTGGGAGTCTGGAATCAGCTGCCAGACTGTTGGAGCAGAGGCTAGACTTCCTCAGGGCGATAAGCATTCATGTTCAATCGACTGCCATTACACAAGACCAGAGCCTGTTGACCTGAATGAAACTGGTGTAATCTGAGACTCACTCCATGTCATATACGGTGGAGGGCAGTTCCTGCTCCATCAGCGTGAACTTCTTTGTCCTGACAGGTTTAATGATGGGCTCTAGGGGGAAGGAGAGAAGAGGAAATTCACAGTTCAAGTAACTTGTTCATCAATGCTTTCCTACACACGCACAAAGTACATCATCTTTATTACTCCATTTCCAGAATTGTTCAAAAAAGAAACTGCATAATTAAATGACAGACATTCTCATTTATGAGTGCTTAACAATAATAAAAAATGTTCAGAGGCAGAAAATCAAAACAGGAGACTAAATTACTAGACATAAAAGTGCTTTACATTAGCCAAATTAATCTAAGGTTATAACATACATCTCTGAATCTCAGACAGGTCGTTCAAGTCACAAAATTACGTTAACCTGGACCCCTCTGTGCACAAATTCACAGGTGTTCTTTCTCCCATTTCTGTAAGAGCTACATTCCAACTCACAGCAAAACCAGATGTAATTCACCTCACACTGCTCTTTCAAGCTGTAGTGCAGAAAAAGGAAATAAAAAACAATGTTGCCGTCTTAAAGCAGGGACTGAAATTATTTTGGTATGTCTGAAAACCTTACAACCTACAAGCGAAATCAGAAATGGTCGAATTTTGGATTCTTTAATAATATGAAGCGATTTCAACAGACGGCAATGGAAACCTGTCAGAAGGGAACGCTTGCTGAGCGAGAGAGGCCCCTGCGAACACAGAGCCGCAGCACCCCAGCCGGCCCTGACCTGTGAGCGGCTGTGTGTCCTCCTCCTGGACGATGGTCTCCACCTCGGGCCCGTACACCTCCTCCGCCGTCGGGTAGTACTTCTTGTCCTCGTGCAGCACCACCTCCATCCCGGGGGTCTCCTCGTCGGGGTCGGCCGGCTCCTCGTCGTCGTCCTCGTCGGCCTGAGCGGGCAGACGGACAAGCTGAGCGCAGCGGAGAACCCACGCCGCCGGACACCAGGAAAAAACACAGGGGCGTCCCACGCACTGTGGCTCTGCTCAACCGCCCACACCCCTCCATCTCCTCCGGGCACAGAGCAGAGCAGGAGCAGCAGCAGCAGCAGCAGCAACTAGCCTGTTACCTCCTCCGCATCTCGCTCGTCCCTGTCCAAGTCATCGTCATCATCGGAGTCCAGCTCTGGGCCGATGTAGTTCCCAAACTCGTCATACAGGTCGGTCTCCATGCTGGAACAATCTGTGGGAGGAAAAAATCAATCAAAAGCCCTAAGTGGGCTCAGAAACACACTGCCCTGGTTCTACTTCATAGCCAAATTCACGTGTGGAAAAGTCAACAAAAAACCAAGTCCATTTCTCTGCATTATATCTGCACTTGGAATATAGTTGTTTGCTTAATTCACAATATCATCGCATCAAATCTGATTTATAGCAATAATTACTATTCTTAATCCCAGAACTCTGAACTATTTTCAACGAAACCCCAACCTGCATGGGGTGTTTGAAATCACCCATAAAATTCACAAATGGAACCACTCTCTAAACCGCGGCAATTAAAGCGATGATTTTTTACTCGTTTATTTTTTCGCCAGTTTCCTACGGATTTGGGGTGTCTCAGAACACCAGGGCCGTCTGCAGTTGCTGTAAAGGTCTGGCCCGTGTATTATGATTCTGCTTTCTCTGGAATTTCAGTCACGTCTAACCAAACTGCGTCCCACAACGGTATGAAAGGTACGACAGAATGGGTCATTCCTGCTTTTCAGCTCCAGGTTTACTGAACTGCTGCAAATAAAGCTACAAGTATAAACAACCTTCATCCTAAACGGTCATTCCACCTTCTTTATTTTCTATTACCAGAGCATTTCTTGTCTGACTTCACACCAGAACTCAAACTTGACTGTAGGGATAGTCAACTATTATCCTTTTATTTTTGCACTTTAACATATAGACCAAGAAAAAAAGTTAAATGTGCAAAAGAATTGAGCCCCCAGTTGAATGTCTGTAAAGCTGATCCTAAACAGGTTTGGTACTGGACGTGGCTAATTTGGGAACCAATTTAAAAAATCTGATGCTACTCGGGAACTATTTCAGTAACTCCATTTGCCTGGACGACGTGTGCATCATTAACAAACTTTAGATGAAAATGTGTTTATTATATGTTCATTCAAATGTCTGAAAACTATCAATCGATAATGATTTGCCGCTTTCCCTCAACATTTGTGTAAACGCGAGACGTTGACTTGGTCTTACTACAGAATTATTTAAAATAACTGTAAACTCACCTTCGTATACACGTTGTTTAAGACAGTACTGCCTTTATTTTCGCCAATGTTTCTTCAATCCGGTGCGAGTTGCTCTCAATGCGTTTCACTTGCGCTCTCACCCGCTGCGACAAGCAGAGAGGAAAGACCCTGCGCGGAGTAAATGACGTAAGAAGATAATGGCGGCCACTGTACTGCCTGTTCAAAAATACTTTTATACAAGTTGCAAAGGAACAAGTAATAGGTTTATTCCATGCTGAAAAAAAGAAGAAAGAGAACACAACGTTTCGGCCGTGGAGCCTTCTTCAGGTGTCACTGTTTATTCCGAGGATATTCAGTGGGTTGCAGCTGCCTTCATGTAATGAGAATGCTGTTGTCCCACGAGCAGCATGAGGATGTGTGTTGTGGTGCTGGAATATTGTGTCGTCAGTGAAGGATGACCCTGCAGTGGTGAGCTAGCTGCATTCCTAGGTTCATGACAGTTTTCAACAGCTCTCAATTGCATTTGAAAACGTTTGGCGATGCGGTGGCCAGGCATCGAACCTTTGCTCACCACTATACCACCAACACACGCAGTGGTGAGCTACAGAAGTCATCATGGAGGTATCTCCTCCTCCTCCCGTCTTGCCTGGGCAAGAGCTCCTCTGGACACAGACCAACATGGCAGCCTGCTGGACAGCCCACCCCTTAACTTCTCATGGTTTTTACACCACTCTGTGCTGATGCCACCAGTCAGTGATCCAGAGGACATGAATGCACTGCAGGAGAGCACAGACGGGCCTCTTCACCCACGCAGACCAAGGGTGAATATACAAACACCACGCAGATCGCTCCCCAGGAATTTAAACCCAGGGCTGCAGTGCAGAGTGGGAGAATTGCTCACCACTGCACCGTCGCCTCTTCAAATTCTTAATTCTGTAAAATAACTCTTCTGTTCTTTGTAATTTTACTCACAATGTTCCAAGTCAAGCCCTAGAAGTTTTCATTAGTAACATGAAAACGGTGTTAAGCATTTTCTCTTTTTCTTTGTGATGATGTAACTGAAGAAGGCTCCACGGCCGAAACGTTGTGTTCTCTTTCTTTTTTTCAGCATGGAATAAACCTATTACTTGTTCCTTTGCAGCCTACGCATGCTGACGCAGCTACCCACCTGAACTTTTATACAAGTTTACTGTTATTTAATTTGTCGATTTTTTCATATCCATGAAATTAAAAACATAAAAGAATTCTATGTGGAACTTTATATGTCAGAATTCATCCAGTAATAAACACTGTAATTAGGTAAAATAGGTGAACCTGTCAAGCAAAATATTAACGGGCAGAAAAAGATTGTAGTATTGCAAAAGAGTGTTAACTTATTAACATCTTATTATTGTAACACTACAGGGTTCACATAGGCACCCTCACCGCTTCTGCCTCAGGTCGGTCCCCCACCATCGGGGACTCAAACCCGGGCCTCCGGCATCACTCAACAGGGACCCAGCCTGGTGAGCTAAAGAGAGATCTCTCTACAGTACAGGGGCTGCGGTCCCTGCTATCTACAGGGAAGGGCGGTGATGTCACCACTCTGGTAAGCCAACTCTTGCAAGCAATGGAGGCCGTATGCGTTACATTATATGAACTATATATGTTGGAGTTTATTAGCTTGTTAACAAAAAAAATACTTTGTTTGGTTGCAGGTTGTTCATGTTCTTTTGGATTTTGTCTACTCAGCCCCTTTAAGGATTAAATAGCGGCTCCCTGATTACTACTGAGAACACGATTAAATGGTCTAAGTGGCAGTTACATCATCACAAAGAAAAAGAGAAAATGCTTAACACCGTTTTCATGTTACTAATGAAAACTTCTAGGGCTTGACTTGGAACATTGTGAGTAAAATTACAAAGAACAGAAGAGTTATTTTACAGAATTAAGAATTTGAAGAGGCGACGGTGCAGTGGTGAGCAATTCTCCCACTCTGCACTGCAGCCCTGGGTTTAAATTCCTGGGGAGCGATCTGCGTGGTGTTTGTATATTCACCCTTGGTCTGCGTGGGTGAAGAGGCCCGTCTGTGCTCTCCTGCAGTGCATTCATGTCCTCTGGATCACTGACTGGTGGCATCAGCACAGAGTGGTGTAAAAACCATGAGAAGTTAAGGGGTGGGCTGTCCAGCAGGCTGCCATGTTGGTCTGTGTCCAGAGGAGCTCTTGCCCAGGCAAGACGGGAGGAGGAGGAGATACCTCCATGATGACTTCTGTAGCTCACCACTGCGTGTGTTGGTGGTATAGTGGTGAGCAAAGGTTCGATGCCTGGCCACCGCATCGCCAAACGTTTTCAAATGCAATTGAGAGCTGTTGAAAACTGTCATGAACCTAGGAATGCAGCTAGCTCACCACTGCAGGGTCATCCTTCACTGACGACACAATATTCCAGCACCACAACACACATCCTCATGCTGCTCGTGGGACAACAGCATTCTCATTACATGAAGGCAGCTGCAACCCACTGAATATCCTCGGAATAAACAGTGAAACCCAACCAGAGGACACATGTGGGAACTATGCGGAATTTTATACCAAGAACAAGAGGCAAAGGATTGTGGGAGTATGAAACTGGCTTCTTTCAAGAAGGACTGATAAATATTTATATTCCTAAACAACAGGGAGTTTCAAAAACCTCATAATTGTTTAATCAGACCCATGAACAAAAGTTAGCCCAGTGAACTATTTCAGAGTAATTCTTCAGAATAAACAGTGAAACTTAAACTGGGTGATTCAAGTGCAAATCACATGAAAAACTGGAAAAGGAGGCATTTATTTACATAAAGGGGCCATGTTGTTGAAGTAAATGCCCTGTTTTTTTTTAAGACATTCCTGAACGAGATCCTTGAATCAATTAGCTACTCACTATCAAATGGGACAGACAAGCATGTGCTTTTTACGGGCTCTGTGAGAGGATAGAGGCAGAATCCCACAGCAACCTAGCAGAAGAGGTTAAAGGGGTCATTAAAGAGGACATCCTAAATGGAGTTTCCTTTCTTGTTTAAGGACAGAGCTGGTTCATGAGAGTTGTGCTGCTGGAATTTGTTTTGGAAAGTCACAGATAGAGACATGTGCTGAGAGAGAACACTGTAAGACATGTTCCTTGGGATTTTTTATTATAACTGGGTGTTTTTTTTTATGTGTCCTTTGTCGGGACTTATTTTTCTTTTTCTTTCTTTTAAAATTAGACAGTGATACCTTATAGCAATACCACATAGATGATACCTCTGTAATATTCCAGTATCAGAATAAAAACTGCAATTATGTGGTCTACATACAGTAGTTTATTCAAACCTTTATTGAACTGTAGCTCTTCTCTGAATCCAAAAACTTGTGTGCTGACGAGGGTCTGAGCACCTTTAAATTGTCACTGTTGGGAGAAGTATTTCTCCTCTGGCGTAGTGGTGGACCAGCGACAGGATTTTGAAGAGGGGTTAGGAGACGTGAAGCAGGAACTGAAACCCTGCAGTTTGGTGTCACCATGGCTGACAGGAGTGGAGCATGGTGGGGAGTAGAGAGATGTTTGGGGAACTAAGTATTGTGAGTGCAGACAGGCTTGTGGGGCCCCGCGGCACTACAAAGGCAGATAGGCTACAATTTAACGTTTTTCGTATTTTCATGGTTTGTGGGTGTGGCGTTTCACCGGGCATCCCTTGCCTGATGACACTTCTACTCATAGCATTAGAAAGGTTTGTGAATGAGTCCCAAGGGGAATAACAACTTGTTTTGTGGCCATATATTTCATGTGAATTGTGAGTTTTCCTGGACAAACTCTGGCTGCCGTCCATCTGAGTCTGGAACAGAGAGCCCTGTGGGGCTGAGTGACAAAAACTGAAACCCTCCCAAACAACAGCTTCAGTCTTAATAAGGAAACTAGAATTAAAATGAAAAAAATCACCACAGCAATAACATAAGATAGGGGTAAACGCTCAATTTGGGGTGATGTCATTAGGTGAGTCCCTCATGGATATGAACTGGGACCACTGCTTTTTCTAATTGATATCAATGACTTGGATTCTGATCTCATTAGCAGGCTGAATTTGTTGGCCAGGAGTATATCTGGTTGCTTGTATCTGAACTGATTCCAGAGCAGCAGTGTGAACAAATGTCTGCAAAATATTTTAAACAAGGTCTTTCTAGTGCATTGTTTAATTTTACTCTAACACACTTTATTTACATTCCCCACTTTTCTCTACATATCCTAACATTTTGTTCCCATTTTTTATTCCATATTGCTTGGAAGATAAAATGACACGTCAACAAAAACAACTAAATGTACTGTAAATGTGCTTTGTCAGCTGTTTGCCCAGTCCTGAATTGATCAAAATCTTTTTGAATTTGAATAAATTGAGTAGTTTAAGCAGACATGGCTAGAGGTTCTTGGCCATGAAGGACATTTCTAAATTTAAAAATGATTAAGAGATTTTAAAAAAGTTTTTGTTTGTAAGGTCTGCCATTCCGGCTGTGAAATCATCTCTCTCATTTCCTGAAGCACAAGATACATTTGAAAATTTCTCAATCCAGTTCATAAGTGCTCCAAATAAATGACACCAATCATTTTTGAAAACTACTTGGGGGAAGGGGAGTCACTTTATTTTTTTTGTTTACACTTCAATTCTCTCTGTATTCAAATCTTTGAGCTTCCAAAGAAAATAAGAAGCAAAGGCTTTTTCTGGGAGCAAGAATTTACGGGAACACAACCTCTGTTGCAAACTGTGTGGCAACACTAAGCTGACTTCCTGTATGGGAACCTGCTGCCTGGTAACAGTGACTGTGCAAGGAGGATGTTATTTTACAAATTAGCAATTACCACAGCCATGGATTGGAACTGCAGGTGACAGAGAGTTAAGACCACATCTGAGAACGCTGCAGTGGGCGGGACGGAGAGTGGTCAGGATTGCCACTGGCGGAGACTTGCCAATGACAGCAGTCAAGGGTATTGCCAGGTAACTCTCTGCAACATGAGTCTGAAGTACAGGGACACATTTCCTAACACAGCGATTCCCAATCCTGATTCTAGGGGAGCCCTCTGTCTTCCGTTTTCTGGTGCGCTTTCCACCAGTTCTCAGAAATGTTGTTGGGGTTTGTAATTGTATCAACCCTGCGGCACTTTCTGTGGCAGAACTCCCCTCATCTGTTTTTTTCAGCTGAAATGAATGAGCTTTCCTTCAGCTGAAGGAAAACGTGAAACGTGCGCTCTAGGATTGTCATTCCCACCCTTGTCTGCTCATCACCAGACACTCCCCTATTAAATTGTTCCAGTCAGATATAAGCAAGTCTTAGCAAGCTGAGAAGAGACATAACTTTTTGCATAATTCTGCACAAAATTTGCATATGCTGACAGAAATAATGTACTTTAACTAGGGTATTCATGAGGCCAAGGACAGAATGATAATGAAACTGTAAACAAGCAGTTAGCACTGGTAATTAAGGGCCCAGCTGGAAAGGAAATTAGCAGGTACAGGACTGAGAACCACTGCCCTAATATACACGTTTATTTAAACCTTTATTGAACTGTAGCTAAAAGTTGTTTTAGCACGAAAGCCTGTGTGCATCATCATTAACTGTCAATATAGATTAAACAAAAACGAAAGATCTGTGCAAGTTTCACCATTTTCATTATGAACAGGAGGGAATGAAAACACCAGGACACTGTAACACTCCTGGAGTTGTGCTGATTGTACAGGATATTGAAAAGGATATTTATTTTAAATTTTACTAATTTTTAAATGAATAACTTTCCTAATCTATTCACTCCAGTAATCAATTCACTCCAGTAATCAATAGCTTTGGTTTTAAAATCCCGAGACCTTCAGGCTTCATAGACACTTCAGGGTCTCGTGATGGGTGTTCCACCACTCCTCCACGCTGAATCTCTCCAGCTCTGATTTTCTCTCTTTAGCTTCTTCTTGTTTTATCACAACCTTAGTAACCAATCAGGAATATAGATCTCTTTAACTATTTGAATTTGATACAGTATTTGTCTTTGTCATTGTCCTTTTGTAAAGCGCATCTGCAGCTGACCTCCAGTTTCCTCACAGGAGATGCTGATTTTTGGCTGAAATACACTGAATCCATCTGTTCCTCAGTTCAGACCAAGACACAAGGACCAGAGGATGTAAAACAACTCTAAAGCAGAACAGATTTGTTTAGCAGAAGGGACAGCATTTATTTTCAACATGAGCGTCTTTTTTCACTGCTGGTGAAAGTGCCTGAACACTATTTGTTCTCCTTGTTGCTTCAATCGGTCCCATTGGACTGGAGATCCAATTAGTTGCTCTTTGGCAAGTTTATGTTTTTTCTCTTTGTGCTGTCATGGAGCACTCCACACACACAGGTCAACTTGAATGGTGGTTTTGAGGCTGTCCGAATTCTCTGATGAAGCTCAGTTGCTGTCCCTGTGTCATGGTGAAAGTGTGGCAGAATTGTTGGAAAATGCCGCACAGATTCACTGTAGTAAACTAAGTAAAAGACACTGACCTCAGTGCTGACAGTAGTGATGTCTTATTATTATTATTATTATAACCTTTTCCCTATATCACTCATAACCAGTGTGAGAAGGCAGGAGGTACAGACAAAATGGAAATTCCTGTCTGAACTACATTCCCTTTGGTGGGGAATGACATCCTCAGTCACCTGACTGATTGGTGTAAGCAAATAGGTCACGTAACAGTTTGAAAACCAGGAAGCTGAGACTTCCAGCTTTGGTCGTTATCTGCTACCTGGGAAACAACGCAGATTCTCTGTTGTGTAAGCTGTACCAGAGGGAGGGAGAAAGACTCAAGCATGGACTTGACTGACAGGCTGACTGATGGGAATGTTTTGAGTCTTGAAGGTTTTAGAGGAAGAGACACAGCCCAGCTGCTGATTGAACACGTCTCATGAGAAGCTTGAACAGCTTAGGCTTTTGTTTGTGTTTTGGAGTTTTGCTGGTATTCAGTTGTCTCTCAAGTTAACCAAAAGAGCACTATCTCTTTACCTCGCAGCTATTTTGAGTCTCTTTTATTAACATTGCTGTTTGACAGCCTGCTCCAGGGCCTTTCACACCCAATTAACAAAATATGCGGTTAAGAGCTCTATCACTGTCAGAGGTTTGGGGGGGGCTGGAAAAAATTAAAAGCAAACATATCATGGTTACATCACAATGCAAAAACAGAACTTGCATAAGAACGTGTTTTTTCTTGTTTTAATTAGTAACAGACTTTTTTTTCCTGGGTTGATAAAATCAGGAACACTTTGGTCCAAAATGCTTTTATAAAAACGCCGCCATTGATCCTAAAGTGCTTGGTTTTCCTTGAGCCGGGGCCTGGCGAGAGCAGCCCCCCCCCACGCCCGCTTTCACCTGCCCAGCAGCTTCTTCAGGCAGGCGGTGATGCCCTCCCCGCTCTGCCAGGGCACCGCGGCGGCCTGGAAGACGCCCGGCTGGTTGCGCTGCGTCTCGCAGATGAGCCGGTGCATGGGGTAGTCCCGGCGGGGGAAGGCCGTGTCGCCCTTGCCCAGCACCGCCGAGGGGCAGAAGTCGTTGGCTCCGTCGCCCACGTAGAAGACCCTCTCGAAGGGCCGGCCGCCGCGCTCCTCCGCCCGCCGCGCCAGGTACTCGCGCACGATCTTGCGCTTGCACATGTTGGCGGGGCAGCGGGGGCAGGAGTGGGAGTGGTAGGGCTGCAGGACCAGGTGGCCCCGGGCGTCGAAGCTGGCTGGGTTGCTGATGATCAGGCGGAAGAGCTGGTGGGCGCCGGCCGCCCGCAGCCAGGTCTCGATGAAGTAGACGTTGGCGTCGGACACCAGGACCATCTCAAAGAGGTCCTGGTTGGACCTGAGGAACTGGAAGACGGCCGGGATGCCGGGGGAGGCGGGAATCTTCTCGATGACGGCGCGGATGGCCTCCTCGCGCACGCCCTGCTCGCCCATGTAGGCCAGCACCCGCTGCATGTACTCGTTGTAGTGGCCTTCGCGGTACGTCTCGCGCAGCCAGCCCGGCAGCGCCTGCCCTGGGGCGGCCCGCACCACCACGTCGTCGCTGTTCTCGTCCACGATGGTCTCGTCGAAGTCGAAGAAGATCAGGAAGCGCTTGGCGCCGGGACCCGCCATGTCCGCGGCCGGCTCTTCCTCTCCTGGGGCGGGAGGGGGAGGGACAAAACAGCATTTAAACACAGAGTCCCTCATGGCCGCCTGCTGCCCCTCTCCTTCCAACTGCCTCCGCCTGGTCCCGGACAGCAAGGAAACTCCGGACACAAACCGCAATCTGGTCAATCTGGCAAACTTAAGCACCAAATAGGAAGGAGGAGAACTAGAATGATAAAAGAAAAAGAAAAACAAAACTTTTAGTTAGAATACACAGTTCGCACCTAAAACTCATCCTGCAATGCAGTGTGATTTAGACAGGAGGTATACTCTTATCCACCCGTTTTCTCACCGGCTCTTCACACTCGGGGTCACAGGGAAGCCGCCCATAAATACTCTTATGTGTATCTTCATTTTTGTGATTTGGTCTCATTTCCAAGCTTACTTTTTAAAAAAGCATTATCACTAATTAATGGTGATTATAAAGAACAAAGAAGAACATAGTATGAAATGAACCTGTCGATAAACTGGTATTACATGGCTTTTCTGAGCCTATGATCTCCAGGGAGACAATAAAACTCAGGAGGTGTGTTTGTGTAACTGTTGGCTGCTGGGTGTGACCAAACCCAGCTGGGCTCAGCACAGGAGCCACGAATAAATGTAGGAAGGGGGTTCTTTAAAAAAAAAGCAATAAGAGCACAAACCAGGGAAACAAAGGCTTTGCAAGTCAACTGAGCCTTTTGACAGTCAAACACACCTGCCCTTTCTTGCCAGTTGAGCAGCATTCATATAAACGCTTAAGATAACTTGGCAAAACTACAGGGCAGTGTAGCATAGTGGTTAATTCTCTTAACAGGTGGGTCGCTACCCTGTCATAACAAGTCCCTGCTACAGATCTGCTGTTTTACTTCAAGTGAGTCCACTTCTGCACAGGCCCAATGAGGTGAAGTGACTCTGGTATGGAAACTACCTACTGAGAAGTCTGACTAGCAGTGTGGCTCAGGACAGCTGGAATATCTCCTGCTTAGATAGGCAGCCCAATCATGCAGCCACAAGCACTCCCACACCCAGGTGGAATTCTGCAGTGCGTGCTCAAGGCATCATGGTATGATTGGGCTGGTGCATGAGCATCTGTGGCAGTCAGGTCCTAAGAGGCACAAGGATGGCTCTACCTGAGCAAGCGTCCAGTGTCTGTGATTGGTATCGCACCGCTGTACACATTACTGCTGTCTGCTCATTGTAATACAGCATGCATCATGTTCTAGAACAGGACTGCTGCGGACACAGCACCAAGGTCCAGTTCTCTCTCCCTGCCAACTAAATAATAGGACACGCCAGACCTCCCAGCTTCCTGTTGATTCCGGGCTGTAAATTTCCCTCTCTGCCCCTCTGAGGTCTGGCTTTCAGTCATAACTAAATAAAGGATCCTCCAAGAGTGCTCCCTGTCAGCAAAACAGCCTTTACATTTTCCTCTTCCAGAAATGGACAAACTATCAATCTGTGGCCCAATGTGATGCACAAGGGTACAATTAGAAAACAAACCACTCAAGTACTGTAATTAAAGATTCATCAGGTGATCTGTGAGGGACAAAGCAAAACATGATTAAACGTATGACTGAAACGAAGAGCTTTCAGTGTCAACTCAGTCGAACCTCGAGGTCCTGTTTTTTTTATCGTTCATTAAAGAGATTTCTGCTGTTTTAGGAAATAGGGAGAAGACTGTAGGAAAGCCTACATATTCCATTCAGGAAGGCCTGAAGCCCACGAAATACAGGGTCATCAAGTAATCCTCTGAATAAGACCTGAAATCAACACCCAGACTGTCCAGACTGATCCCAGTCTGTCACGATTGGCTCAATGAGAAGTCAGTGCAGACACCAGAGGTACTGCGGCACACAGCCAATGTGCGCAAATAACGGGCTGTTTGCTTCAGTGCACTTTCCTCTGAACTTCACGCCTGAGGTCAGAACAGGAAGAGCAATGCTGAGTATACACTGCAATTAAACACCATAAAACTGAATTCGTTGTGTATGCAAATGCCCCTGACGTAGTCAACAATGCGAGTCTTTCACACACAGAGGGCAGACTGAACCTACAGAGGTAACAGGTGTGCCTGTCTGCAGGTTTTTATTGCTGGTCAGGTATCCTGCAATGCCTGTTGCAGTCCAGCAGCTTTCCGGCTGAGGGACAGGAAATTGTTCGGATTGCTCTGCAATCCTGTCCACTTCCCATCACCCTAGGGAGCACAGCTGGGAAACTGCAAAGGAAAAAATCGGCAGCAGTAGATGATGACAGGGCAGCCCCTCGCAGGAGAAAAGAGGGTCCCTGGACTTCATGTAAGTCCAGCCCACACTGGTCACTCTGTTGCTTCAGTAAAAGCTTGAGGCATCATCCATTATTCAGGGTGGGAAAAGCTTTGAATTCCACCTGAAAACAGAAATCAGTTCTACTGTGACACTGCCCTCTCTCTGGGCCACCCCGCCCTCCGTTGACACAGTACTCTCAAGATCCTTCTCTGAACTACATTTCCCAGAAACCTGTGGGGGGGGAATGACCTGCCATCCTTTCATCTGTCCAAGTGGTGTAAGACAACAGTCACATGACCGCTTCTAAACCAGGAACTGGAGGCGTCTAGCACTGGTTTTTATTGCTTTCTGGGGATGCAAGCTGCACCAGAGGGACAGAAGCATCTGACTGACTGACAAACAAGAACTTTGCTAAGCAGCTGGTAAAGAGCTTTGCTGCCCAGCTACTGGTAGGGAGGGACTGAACACATTGAATGAGAATCTCAAAGCTTTTCAAATATGTTACTGGAGATAGCAGTTTTCTTTTGTCTCTCGTTGTAAATAGAAGAGCACTATTTCTTTAGATCATTGCTGTTTCGAGTGTCTATTTTTCCTTGACCTACCTATCAACTATCCTAATTGACATTCCACTCCAGGGTGTGTCACTTTCACCCCATGTACTGTAAAATAATAAACTTACTAGAAAGAAACACAAGGTAAAATAATAAGCAAACGTAAAACAAAATATATTGAAGATAGAACTTCATTTAAATAGAAACAGAACATTGTTTAAATATCCATATTGTCCCAGTATCCTTCTTCTATAGGGTAGTTAGTGAATAAAAGAAGAAATGCAGGTTAAATAAGTATTAATTACAGTCTGTTCCTATACCAGCCTGAATACAAGTAATTTACATAAGTTAAATAATAACACAGCCCCACTGATTAAAGAATATTGAGCAACAACTTCTTCTGTCTTCAACAGTTTGCTGGGAACAACAGGCACAAGCTTATCAGAGAAAGGCGTTTTTAAACAAACTAACTCACACAAAACACAGAAACTGATATTTACAACAGATGCTAACCCTCTCCCACTAAAGTCCTAATATTGGACCAGTCCAAGGCACCTGAATGTGGAGAGACATCTTACTGGGATGGACGGGTCTGCTTTCGGAAAACGTCTAATCCTCCAACCTCTGAAGTGACACTGAAGAGAAGACAATCCTAACAATGCAGCCGAACAAACAGGAGATCGAACAGGCGCTCCGGTCTATTTCCAGGGACTCCTGTACTGTTCCTCACTGTCCATCTTTTGTATATTAAATTGTCACATCTTACGGAGGTTTCCAGCCTGACAGCCACATGGTCTCTGCTTAAAGTATTTAGGTACTGTATGTAACTAAATAACTGCCTGCACAGTGCACACAGCTCAGTTACCACTGCGTCTTCCATTTCAGCCCGAGAAGACGTCCTGTTCTTGGGCAAGGGGCACTAATGAATATGGGCACTTAAATACTCCTCACACACGACATCTTCAATAAAGGTAAGGATTTCAGACTTTTAATTTGGTTGTTTCATGCAATATATTATGACAAATACTTACAAATGTAAAACATTTTGAATATACATATTTGACTAAATATGACAACTGACTACAACCGAAATAGTGGTAACTGGAGAGCATTTTGGGACCTACTTGACCTGCTGCTGGCCCTCTACAGCCTCAATGCAGATTGAATCAGCTGCTCTTTCAATGATTTTCTTTCTGACAGGATAAGCGGATCGGTTCTCTGCGAGTTTCCAGACGGACCGAGTTTCGCGGGACAGCGGCATGTTCTTGCTTTCAACCCAGACACAGGCGCGCAGGCGATTGCCCTGCAGGGGGCGCTCTCTTCTCCGCCAACCTCAGTTCAGTGTTAAAAAGATCGCTAAATCTAAATGTCATGATGTTCTGCCACCGTATCCCACCCCACACGGCCAGAACTGAAAGTATAACATGACAGACAGCTCGTCTCTGCTAGCCAAAGTTCACTGCCTTGTTAAGTTAAGGGGGCGCGCACACGCAGGGGGTGAGCTCTGTCGTTGTGGAAGTGAGGTGTGCTGTTGGCATGAGCCTGATGCTACCTTTCCATGTATACAGCGTGAATGTATGCAGGGTCTTGGGATGAAATAGCGCCATTAACAAGGCAATCTCCAGGGAGACAGCAGGCAGCAGGAGAGCTTTCTCCCTGACAGCGTTAGAATAATGTGGCTGTGCCGTGGCAAGACGCGGGTTAACAACAGCAGAGTTCACATCTTTTACCGAAAAGAAATTAGGAATGCGCTTCGCTGGCTGTCAAAACGCCACGGGTCAGATGATGAAATCTGTATCGGCATCAAAGTGCAATAAATGAACAGTGTCTGAGGATTTATTTATAAAGTTACGTTTCCATGCGCAATATCTCAACTTTTTTTTTGGGGGGGGAGTGGGTGGGGGGTGTTGGTTATTATTAATTAATTAAAATAAATACCACCAACTGACCGTTTCGCTGGGGTATTCCGCAATTGTATTGGCGTTTCTTATCCTCTGTGACAGCGGTCCCGCTAATCTGTAGGACATACAAGAAAAAAATAACAAGCCGTCAAATTATAAAAATAACAGCGTTTAGTGCACATCCCAGCGAGTTACAAAACATTAAACGTGAGGTAGTGTCGCAACCAAAACCGTAGAAAGTATGTGGAAGAGATATATATACACCCACGGAGCTGGACGTATTATGTTCAAGGGCACACTACTGTATCACTGCGGTGAACTCACACAGAGCCCGGGACGTGTCCCCTGTCCTCTGTGAACTGTCCTGCTCCGCGACACCTGGACTTCAGTTCAAGGACAATCTGGACGAGCATTACATACCCTTCAGGGTAATGACACTTATTTGTTTTTAATTAACACCGGGCAAAATTACTGTCCTGCGTTCGGACTTCAGGCTGTTTACAGCACGTCTCTGCATTTGGTCAACAAGTTTATTTTTAGTCGCCTGCCTGCATTTTCCCCCGTTCACACCCAGTGCCCACGTTAACGGACAGCAAAACGAAGGGAGGGTAAAGAAGAAAAAATAGATGTTACACAATAATTACCGGCTCTCCGAAGGCTCTGGGCAAAGTGCATTCCGGGCAGCTGCGGTATTAACACAGCGGAGCAGGCTCAGGGCTGGAGGGCTGCCAGAAACTCAGAATCGCCGTGCATGCTCCGGCTGCTTCGCCGTCCGATGCCAGTCTCGGTCCCCTTCATCAGTGTGTCCCCCCGGGTCGCCCAGCGGCAGCGCTGACACCCATTCCTGTGATTCGGGTAATTTTCCGCTCGGATCAGCGCCTCTCTGCCCATTTAAAGGGCTGCCAAGCCAGGACAAGACATCCTTGTGACGTCACTTGCCGGCATCCAATGGAGACCGCCCCTTTGCGGAGATTAAAGGGACCCGGGCGGCGAGCGGGGGCTCCCCGGCGGGGAGGCGCTCGGGCCGCCCGTGGGAGACCGAGGCGAGACGCCGGAGCGCCACGGCTGCATTCGGGAGAACCGAAGAAAGTTGACGGGGAAGAGCGGAGACCCCGCAGGGAGGTGGGTTTTGCGATGGCAGCTGCAAAAGGAAAGTTTCGCGTACGTGTAAAACAACGAGGCTCCTGCATACGAGTCTATCTGCTGTAACAAGACCGTCGGTTCGGCACAGAAATGAAAGCGGTGCTATCGCAAAAGGAGGGCGCTCTCTCCATCCTGGCTGCCCGTGTGCTGAACAGCGATAAGGCGCAGAGATGACAGCCACACGCTGCTGCTTACGACCCGACCCTGAGGAAGTCAGCTCGCAGTGCCACCGAACAATTATCAGGCAAAGCAGAATCCAAGCAGGTGTGTTTTTAGTCCTAAATGCACACTGTTTCACACAAAACAAGGGGGGCTTGAGGGGTCACGGTGCTCACTTCAGTTCCTGGGGGGCTGTCTGTGTGGAGTTCATGGGTTCTCCCTGTGTTTGCGTAGGTTTCCTCCTGGGCCTCCAGTTTCCTCCCCAAAACATAGTGGCAGGTTAATCGGCTCCTGGAAACATTGGCCCTGGTGTGTGTGTGTCCGTGTGTGTGTGTCCGTGTCCTGTCCAGACCTACCCCACCTTGCGCCCCCTGCGTGCCAGGACAGGCTCCGGCTCTGCACTGGAGGAGTGGGTGGAAGCAGCTCTCCAGCTAGATTTGTAAAGGGATCCTCTCAGCTGAGGGAGCCGAGGGGCAGACTCCTCCTTCCTGTGGCCTTTCTTCCTCTCCTGCGTTCATTCTTCCCACCTCCTGCACTAGGGCTCAGCAGCTGCAGGTGGTGCCGTCCCTCGTCACGCCAGGACGCTTCTTCAGCCAGGGCGGTGTTCATCTGCTGCCGGCTCGAACACCTGGGGGGGAGATTTGCAGACCCATTAACTAGGATACGAGATGGACTCAGCGGTGGTTTACAGTGATTTACGGGAGGAGCCCATGACGCAGAGACCACTGGCGCTGCACCTGCACCACGTGACACTGTGGCACTTGGGCCGGCAGCTGTGTTTCTGTGTCGCAGCCCCTGGTCCTGCCGGGGCGCAGGGGCGCAGGGCTGGTCCACTGGCTCCCAGACGCCTCTAATTAACGGCCACGCCCTGCTATTTAAAGCCCTGGCTGCATGAGGCTGTGGAAGGAGGCTGGGCAGCCGGCCTGCGCTGCGAACGCACTGCAGATATCTGTGCATCCAACACAGAGGCCCTGCCAACACCCAGGCAGGAGGGCCCAGCTCGCTTTACGTAGGGGGGATCCAGGGGCTCCACTTTCATATCCTACCGCTACCCCCACAACCCCTTCCACCCATGAAGTGCCCCAGAACTGCCCCGCTCAGGCGCCCTGGCTGGCTTCCCTCACGCGGCTCTGACAGAGCCTGCTTGTGGCACTTCAGATAATGAGCTGTGACACCTAGCAGAACTCAGAACTGTGTGCACACAAATGGGCCCAGACCTGTCAGATTTCCAACTAGTTCACCTAAAGCTGATGACCTTTTTATCCTTTGTGCTGTGGAAGCCATACGATTGTCATCTCTGTGAAAATGAACCATAACGTTTTCATCATAGGGAGCCTCTGCTTACACAGCCCACGGGAAGTTGGAGTACAGAGCTTGCAGAGGAGTCATCCTGAAGGCATGATGAGAATCCAGCCCAGTGTCCTGTTCCTGACTGTGCATTACCGTCACATAACAGAATGTCTGTCTCTATTTCACATTGACAAAGGATCTTGCCAGCAGTAAAACCTATCTAAACATAGACCACAGCAGTGATCCTCCTTGACAATACTGCACGCTCACAGGCTCATGGGAATTCACAGGGGCCACTGTTGGGCAGCCTCCCATACCTGTGAAATACAGTCTGAGCTCACTAACCACTCAGCCCAGACTCAGGGCAGCAAACCTGGGGCTTGGGACTCAACCTGCCTTCAGAAACACCGCCTGTGCTCCCTGCCCCCACTCAGGAGAAGATACCTCATATCGCCTTTTGGAAATTTTCATTGACCAATCAGATCATAGTTTTCTAGGGAGAATGTATGAATGGATCTGCCCCTGCATGAGGTTACTCCAGTTTAGGAATCAAATGGTGCCAAGTTGCTATTTGAATGGAAAACTGCTACAAGTAAAACTGGAAAAGGCATGTGTTAATTACTCCTCTAGAAGAATGTAGCAGGTTCTTTCACAAAACCAGTTTAAGAGTTTAAAGTCGTGTTTTTTTTATTCTTGTGATTTTTAACCACTTTTCAGAAACCACCATAGGAATAATTGAATATTAAACCAATGCAATTGTATTCAGAAGGGAAGGAACTGATGAGACAGCAAGTTCTGAGCTTGTGCTGCGCCTAGGTCACCTGTCCGAATGGGCTTCTGAGCAGCCCAGCATGTTGCAACAACACGTTGTTTTACGAGACGTCAAGTACATGCTGTTCAGCTACTGGGACACTGGGAGGGGATCAAGGCACTGCTCTCACCTGATACCCCAGAGCATTTTCCCTCTGAACACTCTCTTACCAGGAACCCTGCCCATTTCATTCTGGGCAGATCCCTTACACAAGTCGGACATTTCACAAAGCTGAGGGCTGCACGTCCCGGACATGCTCTGTGAGAATATACATCGCACTTCTCATGGCAGGTGGGTCCCGAGGGACTCCTGCTGTAAATCCTGCTGACCACAGCGCAGGAGGAATCCTGGAGTTTGGACTATATATAGAAATCAAGACTGTTACTCAACAGCCGATGCCTGCAGGCCATCTCCACAGCTCTTAGTTAATGCACTGAGGTGAAAGGGTTCAGTTGACAACGAGGAGACTAATAAGCAGCAGATCAGGGCTTCTTTTGACTGATACAGAAATGCTGGTTTTTATTCTCTAGATTAATAGCAAGAAAAATGACAAAACAGTTTTCCTGTGCACAGTATAATAGGTGTGACACAGCTGTTTAACAACTGGACTAATTGATGTAATTGTACCCAACTGCAGGTCTTCTGGCCTGAAACATCTGAGATCCCTGTACAGCCTGTAGATGCGACAGATGGAACCATGTGCATTTGTTCCATTTTTAAAGCTTCTCAGAATACAAAACAGTAAATAAAATGATTCTGTTACAGAAGCAAAGAACGAATGGATTACTGTTTGATATCCTGATCTTGGTGAGAAAAGACGTGTTTTAAAACCTAGTGTGAGAAGGCACTATGTTCAGAGAAGATGACTACATTTCCCAGAAAGCTGGGGGGGGGAGATGACCGGCCATCCTCAGTCACATGACACTTGGTGGATGTTTAAAAGCCAGGAAGCTGAGGCTTCCAGTATCAATCAACACCACTAGAGACATCAAGTGAGAAACTAAAAGAGAGCTAAGGCTTTTGTTGTGTGATTTTGGCTAATTGGTTCCCCTTACAGTATAAATAAAAGAGCCTTACAGCTGTTTTTCTGTGTACATTTTACCTAGACCTGCCTCTCAGTGTTGATGTATATGGCATCCTACTCCAGGGTGCATCATATAGTGACAGTGGGATGAAAAGGGCATCCAAGTTATCACTATGAAGGAGACTTTGTTCTTGATCGATTTTTCTAGTTAAAAGATTAAATTAAAACAGATACCTGGCAATTAGTAACCAGGATCTGACTAGTAAGTGTGATAGTTCAGCTACTAAAACAGCTCTTGTGCAGTTTACTTTGAGTTGTTGTGAGCAGGCTTTTAAAGATTCTAATCAACCTGAATGAAACCCACACTAAGCTATACTTATAACAAATTTGTTACAGAGAAGAAAATACTAGCAGTGGAGTACGAACCAGCTTCACAGCAACAGGAGAATCCTCTGGACAGGGAAGCTTGCAGTTTCAGGGTCACTATTGTGCTGGAGGCAGAGAGGAAATCAGGATGTCTGTGACCATCATCATCTGAGCCACTCAGGAGGTGCCAGATCTTCTCCTTGTGAGAAACAATAGTCACACCTTCAGTCACTGACCGGTGTGAGAAAACGGTGCAATACTTAGGACCGCTGGTGTCATCGAAGCACAGGAAGGCTATAATGAACTAGGCTAGTGAAGGTCCAACCGTTGATAGAACACAAGATTAACACTAGACCTTAGGAGCGCCTGCCCACTATGATAGTGTGGATCCAATCTACAAGCAGCAAGTTAGTGTTGCTGCTTCAGAGATCGGGAGTCACGGGCACCTTCTGTGTGGAGTTTGAATGTTCTTCTCGAAATCTTGTGTTTTTTTTTTGGTGCTGTGGTTCCCTCCCAGATTCCAAAGGCATCCTGGTCAGGCCGATCAGTCTAAAGTTCCCTGTGTGCCTGTATGTGTGTGTGAGCCATATGATGGACTGGCATTCTGTCCAGATTGCAAGCCCATCTTGCCCCCTTTGTTGCTGGGCAGGCTTTAGGTTCTGATGCTTACCAGAAATAATCCACTGCCAATGACTGGATGAACTTCTACTGAGGAACTCCTGTAGGACAGTGAAAGAGCACTGGGTGCTGGACTGAAGCTAGAAAAGGCTCTTTTCTGAGGAGGCTGATCAGGATTAGTAGAGTTTTGCCACTGATTTGTTTCCAATTACGCTTTGTGTTGAAAGCTGTAGTTATCCATGTATCCATGATCAGAATCTACTTCCTGGAGAGAATTATGGCAATCCAGAGCCCATCCCAGAGTAGAAGGCGGGAGTACACCCAGGATGGGATACACACTCACACCCAGAAGCAATTTAGAAATGTCAGTTAATCTAGCCAGCATGCGTTTGGGAGGTGGGAAGTAACCAGCGTGCCTGGAGAGATCAAGCAAAGAGAGATGCAAACTCACACAGGATGTTCCCCAACCTGGAGTTGAAGGCAGGACCCAAGAGCTGGAAGGCAACAGCACTAAACCACCATGCTGCCCTACAATAATTACAGGACAAGGAGTCTTTTTGTGAATAATTGACTCTTAACAATTTGTGGTTGTGGTTTATAAAAGCACATCCACATTCATAATACTGTCTGCAGTATCGGACAGTGGTCTTCAGCAAACAGGCAGGGTGCATGAGGGGGGCCTGTCTGCCTGCTGTCCAACGCACAGTCTGCAGTCTGTGTACTGAAAGCTTCTGTTTAAATTCCGTTCATCCTTGTTTACACTGCACCTGAATTCTTCAAGTTTGCAGTGTAAACAGTTATTTTCTTTCCAGTTAACGGTTTATTGAAATGGTTTATTTCCACAAGCATATGGATTAATATTTGCTGTTCTATTTAAGAGACATGCAAAATATTATATTAATGAATTGCACTCTCAGAAAAGCCTGTTTTTTCTGAATTGAATTGGCATCAAGAAAAGCTGGACCGCAGGGCACCATGGGAAAAGCTGGTCTCTACTATGGGAAGGCAGTTCTAGAAAGTTCGGAAGTTGCATGTTGCAGTGATTTGTTCTCCAGTGGAATATTTTATGCATATTTACACTTCACCAACAAAGACCATAGCCAGCTTCGTGAAACAGGAAGCATTTGTACATCTGAGCACCTAAAACGACTTGGTTGCCACAGCTGCAGCGAGAGCAGAGTCCTCAGTCAGCCTGTTGGCTCCCAGCAGAACAAGTCTCTTGCTCCATCTGCACCTCCGACCATACACAATTCAGACTGTTCGGAAACGTCAGGGGACATGACTCCCACATTTGCACTTCAATATTTCATCAGTGTGTGGTTTTCTTGTTTTATTACACAAAAAAATGCATCGATATAAATGGGATGCCCTGTATTTTGTTCTGTTTCATATGCATGGACAGAACGACACACACCTTAAGTTCTAAAACAGCTGTATGTCTCTTAACAGTTCCTTCGATATCCTCCAGGTGTCCCTGTAGTCACTCTTAACCCAGCATTACGTTATCAGCACAGGTGTCGAGATTAATTACACAATCAGGAACTAAATACGAGGAGTTCAAAAGTGCAAATAAATACATTGATGTATGAACTACACTGAAGCATGTCAGTGAATGACAGCAACAATAATCCACCTGGTGTCACGGACATGGGTGGAAGTATCTTACAGTATTAGTAGTGCATAACCTGCAATTCATCATTGGAACACACTCAAAACAGAACAAAAGACGGAAATTCAAAACCACAAAAACACAGAAAAGGAAAAACTGACACTAGTGAGACAGTTCTGTGGGAAGAAAAAACGGCAGAAATGTTGGGATGCAGATGAGCCAAAATCTATGATTTTTATCACACAGGCGCCAGTACAAAAACTCAACTATCCCAAGACAGGAGCACTTCTCAACACGAACCGTAATAAGCAGCAGGTCAATTCCTACAGCTAGTCAACGGGTTTCTGCACAGTACCAGCAGATACTGAGGAATGAGGACTCCACATCCCACCGATCTGCACAAAAGATAAAACACTGATCAGATCGCCTCGCAGTGTGTCTGTAGTTACAGAGCAATCTAAAGATATTACAAATTGCTAAGCTTTGCACACTTCGTAATACAAGGATAATGACCTGTGAACTGACATATTCTACCCACACCAGTTGATCAGTCCTCTGAATAACTCCTCAGTGATGCCAGACATAGTGATAAGAAAGATCACTTTATTGACCCTATACAATTTCTTGTATTAGGAATTTGTCTTTTCGCATACCCCAGCTTGCTCTCCATGAGACACAGACAGGTAGAGAAGCTGGGGGTCAGAGCAGGATTCCTCTGCCTGGCGCAGGATTTAAACCGGCAGCCTTCCAGCCACAGGCGCAGATCCTGAGCCACAGAGCCACCGATCCGGCCCTCAGACAACGCCAGTTACACGATCAAGGCACATAACGACATACTGAATGTGTCAGCGAGCCTCGGAGGATATTTGGCCCGCTCACATTATCATCCTTGAGAATATCAGATGGGTAAAGCATTTCCCAAAAGCTGAGAATCTTCTTGCAAATGTGGAATAAAAAGAGAAATTCTACAAGTAAAAAAAATGAATTTTAAGATGATATGAGACATGGAATCAAATTCGAAGGCTCTGTTGTCCTCATACAGCTGCCTTTTGTGTATGTGGCATGAACAACATCATGTGGCACTAGGAATTTTGCTGCAGAATACCTTTCCAAAAACAGCAGATTTTTTTATCACGCCTTTTGAAAAGAACATTTCCTCCAACACACTGCTGGAGGATGTAAGAGGTTTGGAGTCTCACCTCTCCGATTCCAATACACGGCCAAAATGTTCAATCGAATACAGTGGTTTGAGAGTTGTCCACAAAACAAAATAGAACTGAGGAGTTAATAAATACACACACCGCCCTGCCACGACAGATGCACAGCACAAGATCCAGACCATGTTAAAACCTTCAGTGAAGCTGCTGGAAAACGGACTGCAAACCCAGACCAATTGAAAAAGAAAACCCATTTCAACCAGCCAGAACCTCGACCAAACGTGTGCAGTTTGGATCCTTTCTTCTTGGATTTGATCAGAAATGTTAATCCAGAGCAGACAAACAGGAGCTCTGAGAAACCAGCGGGATGAAGGATGTCGAAATTCCAGTGCTTCCTCATTTCAGCAGGTTTTCACACAACAACATCAATCCATGACACAGCAGGTAAACCAATGATAAGGAGTCAAATTATGATGCACTGCAGGATCTCCTTCACTGAACTGTGACCTTTGCATACTTCTCGAGATCTCTTATTTTCGGTCTTACATTGTTTTAATATACGCTACTATATTTAAAGCATCTGAAGCTTACTTTCTGACTTCAGTATTTTTCATCTCTTCAAACAAAAATGGCTCTGTTCACACATATATTGTATATACTGTACATGTCTGTGTCAAGCCTGTGGCATTGTCTGTGATACTAATGATAAGCACGGATGTTAATCTACATGGTTATGCATGTAAAAGTAGAAATTAAATGACTAATTGAGATGATTAAGGTACTGCAATGGCATGATTATTTAATAGGTGGCTTTAGGAGAGGCAGTACTGACCTCCAGATGCTGTAGGACTGAAATACAGGTTAGATAATTAGTCAAGAAAAATGTCAAACAACTATATTACTTTCTCACAGCGTTCAAAACAGGCTGGGCCACAATAGCCTTACACAAAAAAAAGAAACACGTTATATGAAATAAGATGGAGAAACGTACATTTCTGGATAGCAGGGGGGTTAAAATCACGTTCAAGTTCAACACAGCAGGAGCCACGTCTCACAATTTCACACAAAAATACCACACTGGTCACCAAAACCCTTTGTAAGTTTTTGAAAACACAAGCAAAGAACGACAATACACAAGGAGGTGAGAATTATGGCTACTTCTTTTACTTTGAAAGTTAGCATAAGGTCTGTTAACGTACATTATCAAAAAAGGCCCAGCATTATTCCACCTCCGAAACATTGTAAAGCTGCACAATGTGTACCAGATACTCACGAGAATAAAATACACAATGCTACATTGAGTGGTTAAAAATTCATAAAAAGTAGTTTGCTTTTTAAACAATCTTTAAAGAATAAAGATCTTTCTTTTTTAACTAGCAATGATTTAGTAGAAAGTGCATTCTAAATAACAAGGAAAGGAAAATCAACCGTACTTGAAGAGGGGCGCACAGTGTGAGTGGGGACCCCTCCCTGAGCCCTCCCACACAATAACGCAGTAACACTAATGCAGGAGGCGAAGGGTGAGGGGTACGGGCTGGGTGACACCCCGCAGGAACCCCTTGATAACAGACTGAGGGCGAACAACAGCCCAGCACAACGCTCTGGAGTCTGCAGAAATGCAAATCATCAATTTTATGATCGCAGAACATGGTGGAGATACGTTAAAAGAAATGTGGGCAATGACTTCACATCTGGTTTAAAAATGTAGAAATGACCAAGGCAAAACCTGCTTTTTGAAAACAATATTCCCACCCCAGAACCCATCATTCTCCCAGATCACCAACATGCCAGAATTCCCACCCTTCTCCAGGGAATAATATAAAGCTTTCTTGCTTTGCTTTCCCATTTCCAAGTTTAACATACACAGCATTAAAGTGCAGAAGGTCAATATCAAAGGAGTTAAACCTTTTGAGTATTTTTAAGCAGTGAAGGACGAAGAATCGCTCACAGTTTTGTTTTTCCCAGATACCCGTCCAGCTGCTGCTAACCTTGGCAGGAAACAGCCCCCCCCCCCCAGGATGCAAGATGTGAAAAACACCTTCTTGTCACTTTGCCATTCTTGCCTGCACTGCTGCCCCGAGCCTGACTGACACGCTGACGTTCGCTTTGCCAACAAGGTCTAGAAAGAGGAGTCCAGGTGTTGGACATACTGTTAAAGCTGGGGGCATCCTTAAGAGTTACCCTAAAAAAGTTTTAAAATCAAGACTCTGAGAATAAGCTTACTTTGATACCCCTTGCAAACAAGTGTAAAAGACCTCTCTCAGTTCTAAAGAATAGCAACAGTTAGGTCACAAAAATGCATCCTAAATCATACACAGCAAACAAGCTTTCAACCAAATGTGCAAGGGTTTTTTCCACACACAAGGGAAAGGCAGGATCCCATTTCTTGCTTATACAGCTCTTAGCAAATCGTTCCAGAAGTGACTCAAATGTACAGCTTGGACCACACTGGCTGGAACCCTCAGACGAGCCCTACAGCTCATTTTGCAGATGCACGCACACTCGCTCACTGGCAGGCACGCACACACAGTCGTCTATCTACACTCCCAGAGTCCTCCGACAGCTCTGGGGCTCTAGCTGAAGTGGAGAGAAATAAACAAGACAGGCCAACAAACTCAGACCCCTCAGCACCTTCGGCACAACTGCAATCCAGCCTCAAAAACAGCCACTTGCTGAGTTCTCCAGGGCACCAGGTTCAGGAGGGCTTGGGTGACAGAGAGAACCGGCAAAGCACAAGGAAACAGCTACAAATTCCAGGTTTGGACCAAAAACTTGAGTCCATCTGAAGAGACAGATGTCCTACATGAACTGCAAGGACAGAACAGCCCCTCCAGCTCTGACTGCAAGAGTTCAGGCCGGTGCTGAGACAGAGTCTGGGCAAGGCAACGCTGTTATTACCCTCCAGAGAGAAACCAGCAGCGTACACACAGAATATTGTTTAGAAGAAATTTCAGTGTGGCAAAAAGCTGGAGCTCACATGAAGAGCAGAGTCCAGGCACACAGAAGCAGTTTTGTCTGCTTTTCTTTCTAGAAGACTATGATGCCTCATAAAACTAGTGTTTTGAGTCCTTCTGCTCAGGAGCACTTAGGAGAGAGACCATGAGGCACACTTTTATAAAGCTGCTTGTGGGATTAGGGGTTAATTAAGATAGTGACAAGCAAATGGGCAAACTGGACTGAATGGGCTCAAGGCTGTTGTGCGACGCACTGCTAGCTGTGACTAAGGTCTGCACAGTGAATACTCCCTTCCCTCCACAGACAATAGAACAGTACACTTCCTCTTGAACCTTGAACCCAATCCCCGTGCAAGCCACATAGCCCAAAACTCAATCCAGTTTAGAAGTTTGTGTACAGCTACAGCTCCTATTGGAAAGTACAACAGGGCTCCACTTATTTTTACATCTTTCAGTAACAGTCCAAACACATGAATTGGACATACAGTCATTGCAGCAGGTGGTCCAGAGGTGTCCTTCACAAGAGGCCAGAGAGTTCTTTTGTTCAACGAGGAGGGAAAAATAGCTCAAGTTACATTCTTGTAACTCTATAAGCTAAGAACACAACAGCTAATGAATTACAGACTGGCAAAAGGAGGGACCCCAGGAGAAAAACTGCATCTTCGTTAGCCTGAGTGCAAGAGCTCAGCACCTCACACTCATGGCTGATTATCATGCAGCTTTACTGAACATCTTCTCTCACACAAGACGTGCCCGATCAACCCTGGACATTCAGGGTTTGAAATCCTTGTCATTGTCAGAGAACCAGACAGCCATGAGCAGGCCTGGCCAAAGAAAGGCTGCACCCAGCCGCACTGAAGCTGCTGAGCCTGCAGCTCCACACTCCTCAGAGAAGGAGTTCAAGTGTACTGTGGAGCCAGTCAGCAGCGACAAACAAGCTGTGTTTCTACTCTGACCAGGTGCTCTACAGCGCGAGTGAGAAGCCAGAGGCTGTGCCGTGCCGAGGGAGCGCACGCGGCGCTCTCAGCGAAGCTCTCCCAGTGTATCGTCCTGCACCACCCTTCAGCTCGTGTTTAAGATCAAGAACATATCGCCTGTTACTAATGTGCAGCAGAAACCCAGTAACCTACAACTCAAAAACACAAGCCACAAAAACAAAAAGCTCCACATACACAACCTGTAATAAAACTCAGATCTATTCTGAGAGCATGAAGTCAGTTTCACTAAATGTGAACTCTGCGCAGAGCTTATTTGCATTCATCCCAAAGGAAGAGCACACCTCTCTGTAGTGCACAGCCTCTAACACCCGATCGCTGGAGAGCCAAAAACGACAACTACTGTCCACGACATAAGTCGGGCATTTAGACAGATACCGTTGAATTTAACGGCTTAACACAAATAAATGAAATCAATTTAGCAAAGCAATGAGCAATGAAAATTATTATGCACAAAAATTATTTTCAAGAATTGTATGGTGTCCCCCTGCTTGTAACTTTTAGCGATTTCCCTGGACTGCTTGCTTAGCTCACCAGCTCCTCCCAGATAACAAGTCTGGGTCTCACACCCTCTTACACAAAGGGCACCCACCAGAGAAGACCTTGAACTGCTATATACACACACACTATGTAACTAAATACCCCCACATCTTCAACAGCAGAAACTGCAACCGTGTCATTTAAAGAATCAACAACCGTGTAACACAAAGAACATCATGAGGCCAAGTACAGAGAAAGAAAGTCAGCTGAAGAGCATTTTAGCCAATGAGCTCCTGTTAAGCAGAGGAACGCCCACGATCCCCGACGACCTCACACACTCATGCCGCAGGCACACACGCAGACGAGGAAGAGCACTTCTGGAGCGAGGAACTTGTTCAGCAGCCTTCGGTCCTGCCCGCCAAGGCCGGGGTACGACAGTACTTCAGCAGCAAATCCACCCTTGCACATTCCTGGCCAAACTGGGGCAAAAGAGCCATAACAGCATGAAAACGGACACCCGTCCCTCTGCTGGTGTCTCCCCGTCACGCCCAGCGGGTCTCTGGGACCCAGGACCGGGACAGAAGCACGCCAACAACTCACAGCGTGGGGCGGGAAACACACCTTCCCTCAACAGCAGCTGCACGTGCAGGATTAGTAATTAACAGACCCAGGCCTTACACTCTTCTTCGAACTAGGGGCTTTGCAAACAAAACAAGGACCCTTGCCAGGCTGTCACCTGGTTTGAGTGAACAATGTTTAGTGTAACTCATTCTACTAAAGAACATAGAAGCACACAAGTGGTTTTGCCATGACAGACCACTTTCAGGCCCGTAAACTGCCTGCTTCCCGACTTCTGCGCTCAGAAGTTAAAAGAGCAACATATTCTTCTGGTGGGGTTAGCTTGAAAATGTCTTCAAGACACCACTGGAGGAGCTCACATGGGCTCATCTTCCAACTTGTATGCGTTACAGTGATCCAGCAGCGAGACCTTAACTGTATCAGCCTTTATAAGGAGAAAGGCCTTCATCCCAAAGAGAAGCAGAAAGCTACCTGCACTGCTGATGTGACCCGAGACGACATTCACTGACCTTTTAGCTATGGATCCACCATTACCTTAGACTCCATAAAAATAAAAGCTACCAAAAGAAAAACTCTGGGTGACAAACAGACACAGCTTGGGAAGCCCAGGGCCTGCGGAAGGTTTGCAGTACTTATGGAGATATGAATATTCATATTCATAGAGCAAATCAGAGACTGTAATGAAGGTAACTGCCAATTAAAGAAGAAATGGACACTATTAGTTTGAAAGATCAAATATTGAGTCAGGGTCTGATCTCCGTCCTTAGCCGGCATGCTCAATACCTCTTTACCAGGGATTTCTGGTTTATATTCCACCTCTGATCTTAATTACTTAATTGAACGAATTATCTGGAACACATTGGACCACCACCTTCTTTCAGCACATGTAGAACCGGCAGGGCCCAGGGTCTGGTTCCGCAGGGCCAACTCTCCTGGGCCTACAGGTGTGGACAACCCATCACCTGATGAAGACCTGGGAAAGGAGGGATCTATGGCTAATTAAGCGTATAATTTGCTCAAGCAATCAATAACAAAGGTGAAACAGCCCAGAAGCACTGAGGCCCACCGAGACCTGGCCAAGAACCCATCGGCCGTCAGCTGTGAGAGCGGGAGCCAGCGGGCACAGGGCCAGGCAGGGTGACATGTCAACCTCTGAAATCACATTTTATAGAAAAAAAAAAAAGATTATAATTTGATTTTCTTAAATCTGTCATACTACATAGGACCAGCTACACAGGAAAAAAAAAATTACACCGCGCCATAAAATAAATTTCACTTTAAAAATAATGCTAGTAAATATGTCTATGCAAAAAAAATCTCTAAAAGAGTTTTGTAGGAAAAGAGAGTGCGGTAGAAACTAGATACATCAAATCCATTGTTTTCCTCATGTTGTTCCGTTCAACAAAGCGCAGCTAGAACTGGGGACTGCCGTCTTAGCTGGTCTCCAAATTCTTTTTTTGCACATTTTTATAATTTGTTTTTTTTTACAAAAAGCTTTGTTATGATACACAGTGATAAACGTAATGCTCAAGTCCAGTCACACATTCTGAGGAGCTTTTTATACTGGTAAACAGGTCCTAACAAGTCAAGGGTCCTCCAGAAACAGGCTGTGCCAGGAAATTAAAAAAAGCATACCTCATCTGGAAAGAATATCACAAAAATTGGTCTCCGAGAAAAAAAATAACTGACATATTGCTGGCACGAGTTGATATGGGTGTGTTCTTGTCAAAGAGTCAAATTTTTAGGTGTTTAATGCTGTTCATTGTTCTGGACCAGAGGCAGTTGTGAGGAAAGGGCAGAAACTCATCAGAAGTCTTCTGCACCGGTGTGTTTAATGCTAGTAATCACCTTCCGTAACAAACCTGCCAGCGTGAGCCTGAAAATGTGCGCGCATATCTGCCCCTGTGAACCAATCAGAATGCCACAAGAACCACTCGATCCAATCGCACACTGACCAGGGAATCAGCAATACTGTTTCACCACAGTATAGTGACTGAGAACATTTATATTGATCATCCTTTGTTTTGTTCTGCTCATAAAACGTAATCTGAAATGTGATGCATGAGCAAGCAACTTTTATGTATCACAAGATTCAAAAACAAAAGGACATAGTAAAAGGTTTCTTTTTATTGGCACGAAAGGGGACTAAGCTATGGAATGTCAGTCATATGCATTTCTATTTAATGTCACAAATCAGTTTCTGTTGTAGAAATGCCGTGTAAAAATGCATTACTAATTTGATATAATTAAGAAGTTGATATAGTTAGGAGCAGTTTCTGTGACTGAAAATATGTAAAAGTAGAGTAATTCTTATATTGAAAAGCCTTCTGAAATACAGAGGAAAGCTTCTGGACCGACTGTCTGCAATGACTTCTGAAGGTTCAGAGCTCTCTCTTTAAGCAGTCAGTGGCTTGTCTGTGGTTATGAAGACATACTAGTGGCTCAGAAGCAAACAGTTAGAGAGACTCCTTCTCTCCAAGAGTTAGTGCACATTCACACAAATGGAGACTTGTGGAACACGCACCTGAAGGGTCATTCAGTAACATGGCGGGGATGTATTTCATTCCAGTATTGAGTTCTAGATGCATCGCCGTGTTTAATTCCATTCTAGTATGTGAGCAGATCAGGTCAGATGAAGAGCTAGGTGTCAAGGATACCAACCTAAAAAGCAGCTCGGTTCTGATCAAGTTTCGATCTCACTGAAGCCCCATGTCAGGGTTTCCCAACAGTTTTTCAGCAGCGTCAGACAACAGCTTTCCCTCGGGGTTTCAAGGCACAAGGGAACAACCCGTGAAAACTTTTTAACTTTTAATGTACAATTCACCCACCGGTTAGCAAGCAGCAGCTGACTCACTGTGATAGGGAGCCCTCTGTCCACTCACATGCACAAGAGAACGACTCTTGTCGAACAATTCGGGTATCACGTACAGAGTAGAAACAGAACATTTATAACAGAACCTTTTTTTAAAAAGAAGGTTTTCTGTGCGAAACATTTCTTTTTCCAGTCAGAGTACACTTTGTAAAAAACAAAAGGCCAACTCAATGAATGTCAGTAACTGGGAAAACTAAGTGTACCAAATATATACAGCAGCAGAGTAAAGACATTTACCTGTTTCTTTTGCTAAATGTATAGGTTTAAGAATTCTATATTTTCTTTAAATGATTTCACTGAACATAGATATGCCCTGTGTGTGATCTGTCTGGGTTACTGTCCATCTATAGTTTGTCCGGGAAGGAGTGGACAGTTTGCTGTCAGTGTACATGAAAATATGTGTTTCTAAGTGAAACTGTTTTTTCTCTGGGAGGACTTCGAGAACCCACTGAGAGCGCAAACACAGCCTGATAAAACAATCACAGCTACTGTATCTCTCCTGTAACAGTTTGTGTTGCACAGAATACTGAGAACTTTTGTTATACTAAGAAAGATTTTTTGAAAAATCAGTGTTAGGTTTTGCATTAGTGTTCTATGCTATGGTGGTGAGATTTTGTCAAATACAATCATGATGATCTTAAATGCTGTGCTACAACACAAATAAACTAACTTCCTTCACATCCAGCCTCCTACTTAATTGACCTGGGTCACGTTCCCAAATTCCCCAAAACAACGTATATACGGCCATATATGCAGGCACACACACGTGCATTCTCGCACACGCACACAGACAGAAATGTGTGGGGACTCACGTGTGGTTACTGTTACGGAAGGGTTTTGAAATTAATTCACAGACATAGCTATTTGTATATAAAAAATTCAGACAAGGATGAGGTTGTGGGAAACAATAGAATCTGATTAAAAAAATTCACTGTAGAATATGGTAACGCGGGTGTGTGTGTTGGTGCGTGTGTGCAGTACGCTTGTATACAGAACCCGCTGTGTGGAAAAACGGCCAGCGAGTGTCTCAGACCCCTGCCTCTTCCCAGCGCCAGGGGCCGCTTTTAAGTGCTTCACTACGGGCCGCCAGTCCAACGCTCACGGGCTCGAGAGACCAGACCCACCGGTTCAACCAAAATGAAAACCTCAGCAGCACGAGGAGGAGGCCCCGGCAGGACTGGCGCCACTCGCTGTCGGGAAGACCTTTCCAGCTCGGCCGGAGACCCGAGCCGTCGCATCCCAGGAGCGAGAAACAGGCCCACGGTTTCTTTTCTGGATACAAAGGCTTTCACACACCAACACACCCACTTTCTCTTTTTAAAGAGACGCCCAGTTGTGTATGCTCTAGGATCCCGGGTCTGTCTGGCGCAGCCTGGCGGGAGCTCAGTGGTGGTGCGGGGCGCCCGAGTTCTTGTCGGCCAGGTGCCGCAGGTAGCTGTCCTCGCCGTGGCCCCTGTGGTTGAGCTGCGGCTCGCTCTTGAAGAGCGCGGGGGGCGGCGGCAGGTGGGAGACGGGGGGCACCGGGAGGTGGTGGTGGGGAGGGGGGGGGGGGGGGGGGGGGGGGGGGGGGGGGGGGTGCAGGTGCAGGTGGGAGAAGGGGTGGCCCAGGGGCCGGGGGGGCGGCGCGCTGACGGGGCTGAGCCCCAGGGGGGCGCCGGGGGGGGGGCTGGTGGGCGACGGGGAGGACGCGGGCGGGGGGGCCGGGGGCGGGGCCTGGGCGGCGGCGCCGGACGAGGAGGAGGTGAGGGGGAGGGGCAGGGCGGGGGGCACGTTGACGGGACTGGTGACCCGGAAGCACTTCTCCTTGTGAGCCTTGAGCATGTTGGAGAAGCGGAAGCGCTGGCCGCACACCTCGCAGGGGTACGGCTTCTCCCCGGTGTGCGTGCGGCGGTGCCTCTTCATGTTGGGCCGGCTGGTGAAGCTCTTCCCGCAGATCTCGCAGATGAAGGGCTTCTCTCCTGGGCCGGGCGAGAAAACACAGGGTCTGATCGCATACAAATCCAAGAAGGATGCTGGGTTCATCCACAGCAAGGGCCTGAACCAGAGAGTTACACTACTGAGTGTGCTGAACTAGAAGCAGCCTGCTATCTGATGCTGCACCTGATTGCCCCACAGCCCAGTCACACAGCCTGGCTGGCACTGGTAACAATCTGCAATCACAGTGTTTCCACGGGACAACTATAACAATGAGCCTCCAAGACTCAAAGAAGAGCTACTGTATGACTGAAAGCTCAAACAATTTTCTTTAGATATGTTTTGTCATTCAGGTCTTACAGCATTAAACACTGATTTTCAAAAAACCTTCATAATGGGAAAAACCAGGGTTTAATTGAACTTTCCAAAGGGCATACACAAGACTGATATAAAAATGGCAGGCAGGCGATATCAACATCTGCAGGTCTCATGGCACAAAATAATTTTCACTCGGTTCCCAAGGTAACCTTGTCCAAGCAGTCGCAAGTACTGATGAATCTGGAAGCTCCTAACCCCACTCCGGAGCACAGCTCAGAAATCACCAGCTATCAGGACGAGTGCTCTTAAGTAAGTCGAAAACAAGTCCACGCACTGCAACTGATCTGTGCTCCCTGAGCGGTCCCAGCCTGAACAGGGGAGATGTGTATTTGTATTTTCTCTTCCTGCACTCTGAATTGCTCAGCAGTTCTTCCTCCAGCACACGGTTTCTATTTCTGGCTGAGGTGTCTGAACAGCTGTAATGAATGGGAACAGAACTGCCCACAGCCACTAAGAGCTGCTTTTAGGACGTAGCCCCACAGACGGAAATAGAGTTTGTGTTTATTCTGGGCTGGGAGGGAGAGATGTATTCCAGGCTTTATTACATAGTGCTGATCAAACTGGGTGTGCCTTCAGCCACAAGTAAAATCCCACAAAGCAAAATATAAATGCATCTTACTGCAACCCAAGAAGGAAAACGCCAGCGCATGAAAACAGCCCTTTCAATTAACTCTGGAAAAGGCAATCTGGGAAACGTCGCCAGTGCCAGGCTGTGCTCAGCCTGCATTAGGAACTGGAGCAAAGCAGAGGCCCAGTTCTGCACCCTGTCATTATCGCCGGGGCAGATGGCGGGGTGATGTGAGCAGCTGAGGGTGCTCCTCCAAGGGCGAGGCTGTCCTTAACACTTTCCTCACACGAAAACCAATACTTCTAAACTACAAATATTATAAATTGCAACCCCCTTCCCAGCATGATTACTGTAGTCCCATCTCAGAGGGGACGAGCAAACCAGTTTCCACTGGAGCTACCACACCTCCAGGATCACAGCGCCTCATCTTCTTACCTAGAGCTCAACAGCTGGTACTAATTAGAGCTTTAGGTACTAATTAGCTACTAACTACCAAATGGGCTAGGTGGGCCCATGTGTGACCTTCCTTGTGATCTTAGTTATCCAGCCATTTTCTAGCCAGTTCCACCTATTCAGGGCCATGGGGGAGCAGGAACCTAACCCAGCAAGCAACGGGCCCAAGGTAGTGCTGAGAGTGTGCAGCAATACTGAAGGTCGCACACACAAAACCTGATTTCAGAAGTACGCGCTTCAGGTAAACACTGATCGTACTAGCTAATAGAGAAGAGCAGTTCAGAAATGATCTGTTCTTTTTAAATGAATCGTTTCAGTGAATCGAAGAGTTGAACGAGTCCCCTGAATGATGTGTTCACGATTCACAAAAAGCTTTTGGCTCAGTGAGACAAATTGAGTATTTCCAGCCAAGCAGGTCAAAGCAAGAAATGATTCAAGACTCAGGCTCTGTCCCAAACTCAGTATAAAAAATACAAAGCAATTTGGTGCTCTGTAAGCCCAGCACAAGATAAACGCAGGGTCCAAGCACACCTTACAGCATTATCTGAATTTAAACAGCTTGTCCACAGCTACATTTTGTGATTTAAAAAATAAGTGTTTACATCCCTGCTGATGAAATAAAAGTAGCTTTAGCCTTTAAATGCTACAATTTCAGCCTGGAATGAAATCCCCTTAAACATTTTATAACAACTTCATAAATATAGAAAGCAGAGGTCTGGTTCAGGGTATAAATTGAAGCCGAGTGAATCAATGTTTCCCGGAAATCTTTTTTTAGATACTTTTTGGGCACACACAGGTTTAACACGTTTAGCACGACCTCGAGTGGCGGGGAGCATTGTGAGACACCCGAGTTCACTCTGTGTGGAATCGAGGGAGGGGAACACTAGTCTGACACTGAACAGAAGTGTGTGTCACTTGCCCAACCTTTCTCCCGGCCACCTTCGGAAGTTGGGAGTTGCTCAGGGTCGGTCCTGCCCGCCCGCGGTGACGCGCGGTGCTTCTTACCCGTGTGCGTCTTCATGTGCTCGTCGAAGTACTGCTTCATGTTGAAGTCCTTGCCGCACCACTGGCACATGAACTGCTTGTGTCCGATGTGGATGCTCATGTGGGAGCGCAGCTGGTACTTGTACTGGAAGCGCTCGTCGCAGTTCTGCAGCGAGAGGAGAGAGTGGCGCACAGGAGGGCTGTCAGAGGGGGGGGGCATCTCGAAACTACAAGGCCGCACAGCACATGGAGGCGCAGGCCAGACCCGCAGAGCAGCACATGGAGAACACAAACCAGAAGCACTGCAGGAGGGTGCGCAGGGCGCCCTGATGTTTCTGATGGGACACGCCCCGCAATAACAGTATCAAAGTATTTTTACATGACATATGTACATTTTGAGTGAAATAAAAAAGAGGAACAAGTGATTTTTATGAACACACTGGCCTGTACATCGATCAGTTCAGCTGTCACACAGTGAGTGCATTCTTCTAAAGCACTGTGTAAGTCAAAGGACAGGACAACAGGAACTTCATGAAATCTAAAAGTTTTTTACATTTCTTCTGAAGACAATGCAAAAACTAAAAAGGTTAAAATGCTAACACAATGAGCATCTACAAGATCGAGGCAGCTGAAAGTCCTCATATAAAAACACTTTTCTAAGCAATAAGAACAGAACAGGGATGTCTGTTAGGAATTAGCTGGTTTTTAATTTGAGCTTCAAGAGATTTCATGAGTCCAAGGGCTCAGCCACTCTGTTATTAAGAGTATTTTTCCTAATGTAGAAAGGCTCCTTTTTCAAAGCTCTTAAACACCAGGTTTAATTTTCCAGCAGAACAATTAAGACCTCACCCTTACTAAACTAGGAGTTGCTACAGGCTCAAATTGTTTAGTGGTTACACTCTGGTGTTCCTTTCCATATAAGTCTGTTTCCAGGGACTCTTACAAGTGTAAGACATTATAAGATAAATGATCCAAACCCAACCATGACTGGGAGCTATTAGAAAAATAAGTGCTTACTTGGTCAAACTAAAGGCCTCTACCTATAATCATCTGAAGGCCCAAAACTTGAAAGACGCACAATCAGTAGATGACCACAGACCCCTCTGCCCCGACAGCAGGCACTGCAAAAATCTGGCGCACTGCAAAAAACGCTTTTATCGCCTTTACCGTTCTTCTTTTCTCATTTCCCTAATCATCCCTGATTTCTTCAAACTGTACCTGCCCTTCTGCACAAGGCCCTTCTCAAACGTGCCAACAGGTCTCCTGTTTTTAACCCCACAGGTGCACTTCTGTCAACAGCAGCTCCTTCGTATCGCGCAAAACCACACAACTGAAGCTGCTGACAGAGGATGATATTTTCTGTCAACGCCTGTCAATGAATTACCAGAACTTTAGGCTCCATAACATCCATATCCCTGGCCCCTACAAGCATGTGTGCCACGCCAGGTGCCATGCTTTGTTGTGACCTGGATATTCAAGGCTGGTTTATCAGTGTCGCTCTGGCACATGCATGCTGGGTACCGTCCAGCACATCTCAGCCTGTGAGAAGCGTCCACGTCCCAGAAACCCCACTGAGCCCCAAGCGCTTCCTCGGATAGTTCTGGCTCCTGCTCAAACTGCATGCCATCTCCCCTGTCCTGCACAGCAGGGGTGACCAAGGTGCTCATTCATGTGGAGCCGGCTCACCTCAACATGGGCCAAGTAAAGTAAATGAGGTAAACTTGGCAATACCACTCCGTTCATTCAAAGCTTCACACGGTAAAATACATTGTCTTTCTATATAAAAAAACACTGTAGGTGCCATCAATCGAAATGGGGTAGTCAGTTAAAAAAATAATTGCTTGATGTCAACACTTTGTACCTGGAATACACGTGTAGCCTAATGAAATAAGATTTTTACATAAAGTATTATGAGTTTTAAACTTTGAAAAAGTTCAATTTAACTAAAACGTGAATATTTTATTTTGCACGGCAACTTCTCTCTGCTTCGATATATGAGAGCGTGTGCCTGCGAGGATGGGGCCAGTTCCCTCGTCAGGAAATATCCTGAGGTTCCCTTCTCACTGCAGTGCCCCAGCTAGGGTTGGGGTTAGGGTTTGAACAACACCTAGAAACTTTCTGACCCATGTACTGTGCTTTAGGATGCTTTGGAAAGGCAGGAAAAGTGTTACTTTGTTGTTTCCTCAAGAAATAAAAATAAAATTGGCCCATTTATGCAGTTTTTGCTAAGCACCTCTCCGGGACTCTGAAGTCCAGCCTGCTGAGCCAGAGCAGAGACTGGGCAGGAGATCACAAGAGCTGTCTGTCCAGCTGTGGACACCAGCAGGAGCAAGCCCAGGCACCACAAATACAATATCAGAGACACTGTTTTTTATTTTAGTGCTAAAACACAAATGACTTATAAATAACGGCACTTCCTTAGGGTCACAATTCATGCTCTCTTTGAAGCCAGCGTCTTGCCCTTGAAGCTGTCTCACCTTGAAGAATGACGCAGCTTGAATTTATCAACTATCTGTCTATGTCTCCACTCTCCTTCAGACCTGAAGGCTCAATCGCCAGCTCGAGACTCTCCGGGCCTGTCCGCCCTCACCCTGACGGCCAGCAGGCGCGGGGTCGGAGCCCTGCGATCCGGACGTACCTCACAGCGGAAGGGCTTCTCTCCAGAGTGCTGCAGCGAGTGCACCTTCAGGGACATGCTGCGCTTGAAGGACTTGCCGCAGGTCTCGCAGGTGAAGGGCATGTCCTTGGTGTGAGCTGGGCAGAGGAGAGCAGCGTCAGACAGCGGTGTGACCAGCACCACAGCCGAGAGCCCAGCAACAATCATCGTTCATTTTAACAGTGGGATTGTGTCGATATCTGGTGCTAGAAATGGATGCGGTCTGATTGTCTGCTTGTGGTTCTTGAAACATCCTACTTTTGTACCAAGACATCTTCACTACAGTGAATGCTTCAGGGGGACCCCAGACAGGGCTGGATCCCCAAGTCTAAGCACTGTGAGGAGTCAGCAAAGAGAAGTGGGAAGAATCTGGAACACCTTCACACACATTAACGGAAGATTCTAATGAAGGGTCTGAATGCTGTGAAGACACTGGAGCTCATTTCCAGCTACATGTTAATTGCTCGGAAACCAGAGCCCAGTGTCCTGCTTTATTCTAAGGGGTGCAGTTCGTTCAATATTGCACACACAGCTGGTTGAGCCTGAGGGTACCCCAAACTTACCACACCCCCCTCCAGTCAGACTAAAATTCCTGCTGGGAACTCTAAATTCCCTTTCTGAGCACTGCCTGTAAGAGGCCAGCCCACCTTTTCAGTGCGAATGAGCGAAATACACAGACAACAAACTACTGCCATGTGAAATGTCAAATTAAATCAAGATTAAAGTTTTTAGCTGTTTTGCCATTTTCTTTCTCCAGAGCAAACTGAGGAATTCGGCCCCGAGTCCAGCAGCTGAAACCTCTGGCAGCTGTGACAGGAATGCGTCTGGAATTGCAATTGGGAAGCAGGACTGCAGCTGTGGCTGTGGGGCGTGTGTACGGACGACCCAGGAAGGTCTGTGAGCTCCGCGGGCTCCTGGGTTCACCCTGCTCGCTCCTCAACTCACCGACCATGTGCTTCCGGACGTGAGCCATGGTGTAGAACTTCTTCTCACAAATCTCACAGGTGAACTTCTTCTCCGCATAGCCGTGGACAATCTTGATGTGCTCGTGCAAAGACCACAGCTTCTTGAAGGACTTGTTACAGGAAACACACTGCAGGCGAGAAGGAATAGAGCATTACACAGCGACCCGCGGGCGCCCCGATCCGGGCGGCACACAGCGACCCGCGGGCGCCCCGATCCGGGCGGCACACAGCGACCCGCGGGCGCCCCGATCCGGGCGGCACACAGCGACCCGCGGGCGCCCCGATCCGGGCGGCACACAGCGACCCGCGGGCGCCCCGATCCGGGCGGCACACAGCGACCCGCGGGCGCCCCGATCCGGGCGGCACACAGCGACCCGCGGGCGCCCCGATCCGGGCGGCACACAGCGACCCGCGGGCGCCCCGATCCGGGCGGCTCACAGCGACTGGCACAGCGTCCAGCACTATGACTATGAATTACTGCCAAGTTCTCCACATTCGAATTATTCATAGAATTTATTTCACACTTTTATACAGTTGTCAAAAACACTGTGCTCCAAACCATGAGTGTGGTTCTCAGCTGCAAAAATGAAAAAGTACAATTAATATTTTATAATGTTAGAATGATATTTTACTGCAGACCAGAGAACTGTGCAACAGTAACAGGAAATGCAGGCTGATGAATTTCAGTCTCACCGGTTGGTCAGAAAGTGTGGATTTGCACTTACGAAGAGTAAGAAAACGAATTTGAATGAGAAAGCATTCCAGTGAGATCTGACTGTACGATTTATTGAAAATAGACAAGAACAGAAGAACAATATTGTAATACAGGTTTATCCGTCACACAATTCAAGCACAAGGGTCCGCCGGAAAAAACAGTCTTAAAACTCTGACGCCCCCTGCTGAGGGAAATGAGATATCAGACATTCCAGCTTTAATCTGCTCCAAAAGTAATCGGCAAAAAATGTACAAAATTATTTACCTAAAGAGAAACAATAACTGTGAAAGTCACAGTTAAAAATTCTGAATGTGTAATAGTTTATTACTATATATTTATATTGTTTTAAAATGAATCTTTCAAGTGTACTTAGAGGTAAGTGGAGGTGTGTATTTTTATTATATAAATATAACTTATTAAATATGTTAAATATTAAGGTTAATATTCTGTACAGTTCTATCCAGAATATCTTTGTGCACAGTCTTCCCCTACACACGTTCTGCTATAAGTTCCAGAACAATGCAAAGTAATTCCAGAAACAGCACTGGAATTTCAACCAGGTTAAGGACTGGTTTTAAGATCATGCAATGCAAAACACTAGTCAGAGCATGTCAAAGATTGTGCAAGATGCTGGTCACCAAACATAGCCAGCGAAGTTAAAAGAAAAACTACCTGAATAATTCCTTGTTTCGGGGAGAGTTAGATACACAGGTAAAAGGCACCAAACATCTTTTATAGACAAGGAGAGCTTAAGAGGGGACTTGACATTAGTACCAAAATCTCGAAAATTACTGACCAAGCCACTCGCGGACTGGACATTGAAATTAAGCGGAAGTGAATCTAACACTGACAAGAGCCACGTCTTTACACAGGGAGGTGTGGGTGTCTGGAACACGCAGGTCAGCTGTGCTGTCGAGCCGGAATCCCAGCAGCCTTCCAACAAGTCCAAACTGTTTCTTCAAGCCAGGAATGTTTTTTATTCCAAGGCTCTCTCTCTGTCTCTCTGTCTACAGTATATTATTTGGGTAACTTACCCTTTGGCTCCGAGAGGACCAGCGGTCTGCCTCTGGCCCACACTTGACACACAACATGCAGTGCATGACTGCTGTGCTGACTGCTGCAACTGACCGTTAACATGCCCAAGTGTTTGCAGGGACAGGACTCATCTTGTTTTCCAGCTGAGCAATCATGGGTTTGTCAGCACTAACTGGGACCCTGGTGCTCAGCAGTGTGAGCCTGGCCAGCACCTGGAGGGGAGACTGCTGGGGAAAGCTCAGGCTGCTGCTGGAAGATGCGTTAGTGGGGCCAGTAGGGGGTGCTCACCCTGCGGTCCATGTGGGACTTAATGCCCCAGTATAGCGAAGAGGACACTGTACTGTAAAAAGGCACCATCCTTAGGATGTGATCTAAAACCGAGGTCCTGACTCTCTGTGGTCATAAAAAATCCCAGGGCTTTTCTCTAAAAGAGTAGGGGTGTTAACCTGGCATCCTGGTCAAATTTCCTGTTGGCATTTACCAATCATGGCTTCCTAATAATCCCCATCTCTGAACTGGCTTCATCACTCTGCTCTCCTCCCCACTGAGAGCCGATGTGTGTTGAGTGTTCTGGCGCACTATGTCTGCCATCGCATCACCCAGGTGGGGCTGCACACTGGTGGTGGTTGAGGGGAGTCCCCATAACCTGTAAAGTGCTTTGAGTGGCGTGTCCAGAAAAGCACTACATTATGTAAATATTAGGTATTATTAGAATAATCAGTAGCATCAAAAGGGAAGATACAGTTGTAGTAGCACAGCCTCACCACCAGAGGGTAGAGTTTCCCTTTCTAATAGGAATTTAGCGCTCCACTCCAGCTCTCCTAGGAACACAAGAGGATACAGCATACAGGATCAGAGAAGGCGCAGAATCGTGTCAGGTACACAGTTATCTTTAACATTTATGCATTTGCAAAATCCAGAGGACTGGAATGAACTTTGAGATCACTTTTCCTCTGAAGTAAAAGCTCATTAACAAGTAATTCTCCAGCCAATATTAACATATTAATGAGACGGTTCTCTCCTGAATCTATAGAACTGTCCCGTTTTCCTTCTAATCCTACTTATATGGCCACTATAGGCATATAATGTTGAAAAATAAAAAAAATACAAAACAGAAAATACTAGCATAGATGACGCTAGTTATGAAAGACTTATAAGGAACAAGTAATAGGTTTATTCCATGCTGAAAAGAGAAGAAAACAACGTTTCAGCCATGGAGCCTTCTTCAGGTGTCTTCTTCGGATGAAGAAGACTCCTAAAGAAGGCTGAAGAAGGCTCCACGGCCGAAACGTTGTGTTTTCTTTCTTCTCTTTTCAGCATGGAATAAACCTATTACTTGTTCCTTTGCAGCCTACGCATGCTGACGCAGCTCCCCACCTGAACTGTGAAAGACTTATGTTCAAAATTAACATCTGCTAGACAATGTAGGAACGTAATTTAAAAGGCAAAATGCTAGAAAATAGTTGAAAGAACAGTTTTAAATCAAGGGATGTTAGAATTTTATATCACCTAGTAAAGCATCATTCAAACTAGAGCAAGCAGATACATCCCAGGGCTCAGGGACACTGTCAGGCTGGAGGAGAAGATGAGGAGGAGACCTGAGCCAAGAAATGCAAAATCCTCGTTAGTCAACATTCATGTTTCTGCAGAACATGGGAACCAGATGTTCCCAGGTGGACACTACTCAGAACTGCATTTAAAACTGAGGAAAGGAGGCACTTCTTGTCACAAAGACTGGAACAAGCTGCCTAGACGTGTGGTTGAAGGCAAAATTCTGGTTTCTTTCAATAAAGGGCTGGATGAGATACTGGATCAATTATCGACTAATGAAAAGACTAGATGGACGTTTGTAACTTCCTTATGTTCTTAATTGGCCTCTTTTAACAATCCTGAAAATGACAAAGTCAACTCCGAGCAATGAGATTTGATCCACACACCCAACAGCAATTCTCTGCATCTATATAGCGCTTTTCATCCCAAAGTGCTCCTCGTACAGGAGGGAACTCACTGTCGCTCCGGCAGCGCAGCCCCACCTGGGCGGCTCTGTATTCCAGCCCTACTGCGCAGCACATCAGGTGGAGAGAAACGGAGAACCAAGGGATCTATAACTACCAGGGAGCTCCGTTAGACGTCTTGTCCAAAAGACGCGTAGCTCTAACAGCACAAGGCTCCTGGGCACCATACTGGGGCTTCGCTCTGCAAAATCTCCTCCAGAGGGCAGAGTGGCACCAACACCATGTGCAGCAGCAGACTGACTTTCCCGAGAGGTCTCCCATCCCAGCTGTGAGCAGGCCCAGCCTTGCTGACAATGCCAGGATACACGAGGGTAACACTGCTCGTAACACAGGCCCACAGCCACAGAGAGCATACTGACTGGAGGACACCCCAGCACACACAGCGCTCACGTCAGTGACAGAGCCCAGGGCCCCAGTTATACGTGGCCCTTTCAGTGAAAAATGGGGCGGATCTTTCATGGCAGTTCAAACAGAACAGATCTTTCTGCCCTGTATTTCAGCTCACAGATGCATGAACAGCAATGGCCGGCACCGGCCGAGTGGGCAGCAGGCCTGAAAACTGACCACGAAGCTCAAAAGAGAAAACCAGACTGGAGCCAGCAGGCCTGCCATTCTGGCATGTGGACATCAGGAAGCCTCCAGGACTGCGGCTGCATCCACCTCAAGGCTGCCTGGCAGCTGAAGACACAGCAGAGGAGGAGGGCTGGGCTCGATGCTGCAAATTCAGTTCCTTAAGTCACCGGAATTTAAAAAGCCATAACCTTACGGCACGGAAAAAAAACACTATCAGCCCTGCTCCCACACAGGCCCACACAACACCCGCCCCCTCACCAGTAACAGAAACACTCCCTCCACATCCCTCCCACACCTTGTTCCCCACCCCAGCGCTGCTCCAGCTGCCCACACCCTCGTCCCACCACACCGCCGACGCGGCACGGCTGCCCACATGCACTGCTGGGCTCAGGGCACTCCAGACCTGCAGCTGGCTTTCATCTGGACTGGTCACGAACTTCACCACCCCTGACCCCGGTCTCGCACCACACTGCCCTGTGCTCACAGCAAGGCTCCCGGCCGCAGACACACCCACAGCCCTCCTCTGCTGTGGTCTTACCCAGGGAAAGCACAAACACGTCTGTCCGAAGAGCTAGACCTTCAGGCTCTTTTTAGAACCAGCTGATAGAAAACAGAAAGCTCTCCACGCCGCTGACAGCGAGGCCTCCCCATCAATATTCTTAAGTCTTGCTGGAATCGGCAGGTAACTCTCTCTAGTCCAGCAGCATGAAAATCTACACCTCTACCTCTGTGGCCCTGACCTGCAACGTAAGATTTTCAAAACAAATACTTGGCAAGACCCCTCAGGGTGAGAAGGAAGACCCCTGTCTGCACATCAGCCACAGAGAAGAGCTCTCACAGCAACCCCCCTGACCTGGAGCCTTTGTGAGCACACAGGAGTGATGCGATAGACAACCAGGCTGCCGGCAGAGTGAGGCCTGTCACTCCAGCACAGCCTGAGCCGGGCTTCAGGGCCACAGGGCCCACGAGGGGTCAGTGTTCCTCACAAGATATCAGGAACCCCCCCCTGAAAACTGGACAGGCTGTGGCACACCTGACCCATCAGACAGCGCAGCCCTGTTCTGCCCAAGTCTGCCTCCTGCTCCTCCAGTCCCGCACTGCTTGTCTAAATGTGTCCAACCCTGCAGACAGTGACTCTAGGGACACTAGCCAGTGTAGCCACTATTGCAAACAGCTTCCCACAGGGGCACCTTGCAAGACACACCCAACACTGCCAGCATCTGCAGGAAGGGGGTCAGAGCGCCCCCTGCTGGCGCCGGAGCGTACCTGGATGTTCTTCTCGCAGTCGGTCTGCTGGTGCAGCGCCAGCTCGCTCTCCAGCACGAACTTCTTGCCACACTTGTCGCAGATCTGCATGCGCCGGTGGGTGACGTTCATGTGCTTCTCCAGGTACCAGCGGGTGTTGAAGACTCGGGGGCACTTCTCGCAGGTCAGAGTCTCCCTCTCCTCCCCCGCACTCTTGCCCCTGTGAGAGCCCGCGGGGCCGGTGGGGGCTGAGGGGGAGGACGTGGCCGCAGAGGCAGGGGTGGCGGCGCCCCCTGGGGAGGACCCCTTGGCTTCTCGGGGTGCTCGCCGTTTCCTCTTGGGCGGCTCAACGCTCTTGCGCCGCCCCCTGGTGGTTACGCAGGAGGCGACAGCACTGGCCGCTGCCATGGCGGCCTTCCTGGTCTTGCGTGGAGGCTGGGAGGCAGCAGGAGCCCGCCGGGGCTTCTTGGCCTTTTCCTTCTGCCGTTCATTCTCCTCTTCCTCCTGATCTTCCTCGGGGCTCTCACTGGCCTCCTCCTCTTCCTCCTCCTCCTCGTCCTCCTCACTGCTGGACTTGATGACAGGAGCCACGTTCTTGGACTGCGAGGCCACCCCCTTGTCGCCCTTGGAGACGTTGAGCGTCTGGTTGTTGAGGTTGACCTCCACGATGATCTGCTCCCGTTTGAAGGACTCCTCCACCTCCTCTTCTTCCTCCTCTTCCTCCTCCTCCTCGGTCTCCTCTGAGCCCTCCCCCTCTCCGGCTGAGGCCTGCCCCCCACCCTCCGGCGCCCCCTTCCCCCCTTCCCGGTAGTACGGCTGCTGCTGCCCCTGCGGGGCCTGGGCCTGCTGCCCGCCGCGCTCCGCCAGATGCCGCTTGCTCAGCTCGGTGTCCACCAGGACGGAGTAGGCCTTGCCGCCGCCCTCCCGCTTGAACAGCTTGGTGGACAGGTCCAGCTCCTGGCCGGGGGCGTGGTAGTAGGAGGGGGGGGCTTGCAAGCGGCGGCTGTCCTCCGGGGACACCCCGGTGGCGCTCTGCATGGCCAGACCCTCCTTGGGCTTCTGGCACGACTTCATGACCGGACGGCCCGGGGCAGGGGTGGGTCAGTGACCAGGGCTCTGCGACTCCTCCTTCTTGCTCCTTGGGAAAGCTCGTCCACAAAGGGGCTTACATTAGCTTGAACCAGGAACGACACCCCACAGAAACACAAAAAGAAACAAGGATTTGAGGTCTACTTCATCTAGCCATCCTGTCCAGGGGATGAAAGCAGGCTTTTGCGCTGGTCCTTGCTCTCCCACGGTCCTCAGACGTGTACTGTATTCCTTGAAGATCTAGCAGCAGCAGACGTAGCAGCAGGAAAAGGCAGACATCGTGCAGGACATTTCTTAGTTGCTTTTCTTCTAGTAAGGTTAAATTTAGCTTAGTTGCTGGTCGGAGCTCGAGGAATTTGTCCCTCTCGTTTTAGCAGCCATCGGCAAAGCTTCACCTGAAGAAGGAAAAAGAGAAAAGGTGTAAGAAATCAAAACTGTACACGCGCTGCCAACTGAATCATTTCGCTACCTGCATTTCTGAATTATAAAAGACAGATTCTCCTTTCAAAATGACAGCATCCTGTATGCGAGTCACCAGCTTAGGTGTAAGATGCAATCTTTGCAACATGCTTTCTAGTCTTTACCACAGTCCTTAATTTCTACATAAAACCACAGGCAATACAGAAGGCTGCAAATCAGTTACCACACTCACTCTTGCTAAGCTGTGGGAAGGGCTGTTTGTTTTTTGTTCTCGATTTGAATTTCTTTCTAACAGTAAAATTATTTCAAAACCCCGAGTGCACGGGCAGCTGCACTCTCCTCGTTGCGAAGACGGGCCTCGCCCCGCTCACACGCACAGCGAGAAGAAGCCGATACGGCCCAACAGGCACACAGGTCCCGGTGAAAAGGGGGCTCCTGCACGTGCAGCAGCGCCCCCCCGGTGCCGAGCGCAGGAAGGGACGATGTTGCGCGGTTGTGACTATACGCGCCGTTTCCTGAAAAAAACACCGAAACTTCAAGTGAATGTCTAAGGCATCTACAGACTAAGGGGTGTGACACGGCTTCCATTCCACAACCTTTTCATCCATTTCACGTTTTATCAGCTGCAAGTTGATGTAAACTGGATTGATGAAGCTGGAGAGTGTACACAGTCCTTTGCTACCATTATGTTTCAGCTCTATGGTTGAGTCCATCCAACACCCTGCAAATAACATACGAATACATCCACCCAGATCTGAAATATCCATCAGCTGCTGCTGGCTGACCGAAAGGAGCCTGCAGCCTGCGGAACCAGACACGGCTCAGGGCGCTGTGCAACAGGAGGCGGTACGTCCATCCCTGCGAGCTGCTGCTCCAGAAATCCTCCCAATTCAAAGGAACACAAATACAAACCACCAGTCAACACTTCTACTCACAGGGGATCTTCATCAGACCAGACAGCACACGCCAGCACCATTTCGACCGATTTAAAGATGATTAATTACAGGTGAAGGGCAAAATTATTAATGGACAGAATATGAATTTGAATAAATATTATCGATTACATTAGTATCAAAGTATAGACACCAAATCATTTCTATCCTCCCTTACATATTAACCTTGTAGTTTAGGAGTTTTAAATATGAACCAACAAATATCCTTAAAGCATTGTGACTGGAGTATTCAGATTCAGATTTCTAATTCACTAAATATGAATCAGAAGGACTACAGACTTGGAAGAACACAGAGTGAATAAATATTTTGGGGAAAACATTTACATAAAAAATATTTATATGCAACATTATTTGACATTCAGTCACAGAAACAGCTTAATATCCCAGTTCCCATTACAATCCCTCGGTGATAATGGAAGATTGAGTAGTTATTAGCATCATCACCCAGAGGGTGTAATGAGAACTGTGATCCAACCAATACATCCAGATCATCACCCTGTGATCAGCTACAGGTCTTGATGAGGTTTGTTTCACCTGCGCACCAGTGAGCAGAAACTGGGGGGGGCACTTCACTTGCACAAAGCATGGTGGGAGTATGGAACAAGCTGCCAGGCAGGCTGTAGAAGGCTATACCCTGGCTGTTCTCAAGAAAGGGCTGGATGAGACCCATCCTTATACCAATTAGCTACTACCTACCAAGCAGGTTAGGTGAGCTGAATGGGTGCCTCTTGCTTGTGTTCGAAAATGCTCTATGGAACAAAGCTGGGAGTATTTGAGGTACTGTATCTCTCCACAGCTCTACTGTCACAGCACTGGGCTTCACTGTACTTCGTGCTTTTAGGGACTTGTACTATTGAGTACTTTACACTAAACACTCAACCACAGTTCAAAACGCAGCACGGTGAGACACGACCTGCAAGAGCTCCTTCCTGTCACCGACTCTCCAAACCAATCCTTCACACAACAGGCTCGGCCACACGTCTCGAGCTCAGACCGGGCGCAGCGCCGCTTCCAGAGCCGGCTTCTCTCTCGCAGCAGCAGGCCAGACATGGGCAGAACAAAATGTCAGGCCCTGAATATCCGAAGGATTTCCAAGCAGAAGCATAAAACTGCGCAGCCTCGCTGTTGCACCTTAAACCACAGCCTGACTCTGCTCAAGCTGAGTGCGTGTGAGGTGACAAACCTCCCCACTGGTGTCTTTTTCCACAGAAGCGTCGCTATTTATGTGATTGAAGTCAGGCCCACTGAAGTAAATAAAAGTAAATAAAATACCTCACACCTTTCTTTTAGAAATCTCTGCGATCTAGAATATGTAGCGATGAGTCACAGGGGTTTGAAACACCGCTAGTATGGCTCCTACAGCTCTAGCCAGGGCTGGGACAGCTGCTCACATACTGGACACTCTGCTCAAGAGAGAGGTATACTCCTACAACAGCTCAGAACTCAAGGCCCAGTACAATCCTCCAGCTCAGCAAATCAGTGCTCATTCGCTTTTCTCTTGTTCCCTGAGCACAGAGGTGCCTCGCTGTGAGAGAGTATCCATCTTGAAGGGCAGAAACTGACCGGGTATTTGAGATCTGAAGAGACCATCTTTCAATTTAGAAAAGCGGGTTGTTTTCACTTAAATGGTGTCCACCAGCTAAGAGAAACCTCTTTATGTTGTACGGATACACTAATTTAGCACTGGAGAAAGCTTCCCTCTAGTTTACCATGAACTTTGTATTTTTGTTTGATAAAATCGTCTCTCTTATACTGATTTTTCTCTCAGATGGGCCTGGAATCTTGCCTCCTAAAGACTAGGTCTTGGTTATAGGCTGGACTCGGGTATGTAAGACTCATTGTGAATATTTGCGAATAATAATTGTGTGTTTTGTATTTGGCTGGTTTTCTAGTCTCCTATTGGCTCAGTAACACTGCTGTGCCAAGAAACAGAGAAGCCACATGACCAGCTCTTGACACTTCCTGACTGTAGGGGAAGTGCTGTTATCTTTCAGAAATGTGCTTCCTAGGTAAGCTGGTGTCTGAACTGACTTTCTCATCTTAAAATGTTACCTCAAGTTTTTTACAGCCCACAGCCTTCCAGTTTTTGTATAATATATGGTGTGGAGCTACTGAGAACATTTATTACTTTAATAATTTATAAATGTATTATTTATGTGTAAAGCCTTGGCAGCAGGTAACCTCAGAAACAGGGACTTCTATGTTTCAGATAAGACCGTTTCCAGGGACAATAACGGGGATCATACAGATTTTGCCTCCAAAACTCCTGATAAGAGAATCTCACTTCGTTTCTCACTATTGCAGTGCAGGACTGGGGGGCTGCTGATGCTGTCAAAGCCCCCTGTAGCTTAGCAGGCAGAGCTCCCACAGCTCAGCTCAACCTGCGGCTCCAGACTAGCCAGCTGGCCAGTACCTGCCGAGTGCCAGACCTCACCAGCGGCCTCCACCTTCTCTGAACTGCAAGATCTTGCACAAATGAGATGAAAACATGCAGCACCTGATTACGCAAGACCGTGGGGAGGCACATGAACTGGAAACTGCTATGCAAAGAGAGTCTTCTGTTCTGCATCAAAGCGCGGCATATTCCCGAAAAGTCACGCACAGCTCAAGCCAGAAAGTTAACATGGCAAGATCTATGTATTGTAGACGATGGTGCACGAGGCTACAGCATGGGGCTCAGCTAGTAAATACAGTCTTGCCCCTTACTGTGTCAGTGATGAGGCACAGTAAACACTGAATGAATGAATGCTCCCTAAGGCGGGCACACAAAGGACGGGTTAAGAGATGTACCAGCAGTCAGAGCACCCATGCAATGTGCACGAGCCTTGAACTCAATTCCTGCCATTCAAATGTAGACTAAAGAGTGAATAAAATGAGCCCGGATGTTGCCTCTTGTCTCTCACCACATGGTGTAGTGTGGTCAGCAGCTCCTGCCATATAAACACATGCACACCTCAGGTGCCCACACGCGAGAAACCTTTAATGCAGTCAAGTCTCTCAGAGAGAACGGAGCTGCTGCACGCCTACTCAGGAGACTGGCGTCAAATGTGTGCAAAGCAAGAGTAGCAGGGAAATCAGACTCCCAGTGCTAAGCAGCCCATAGAAGCCCTGTACGTCGGAGAGGACTCCAAACTGGCTGGGGCGACAGAAAGGCATGGAAACTCAGCCCTGCTTCCCAGACAGGTCAAGCCAATCTCTGTGGCTCAGTCTGGCCACGCTGGAATACACCAGCATGAGCCGAGAAGCGTGGCATTGCTCACTTAGTCTGGTTGCCCTTCCACGCCACACTGACCTCAAAACCCCATCATTTATCCGAAAGGAGAAGGGGCATCTTGAAAGATCGGGGAAGAGACACTGGCAGAACACATCTATAATTATAGCACTTCCCTTTGCCAAGATCGGGCCCACGTGTACGTAAACACTAAGTGTCACACACCCATGAGTAATGAAACCAGTTCCTCTTTTTCATCACAAATCTCTCGAGCGGAGCCCGCTGAGCCCGGACTCGCTGAGGAAACCAGACGGAGGCTCACTGGCTGCACGACTGCTGAGCTGAAGCTCTCCAAACAGCAGCACAGCGTCAGGCCATACAGCTGCTTCCCCGCTCAACCAGATTAGTCCAGCGAGGTGCAAAAGGCAACTGTGACCCAGGAACAAGGAACTCCAGCGCTTAAGAGCCACAACGAACCAGGTTTTAGCCAAATGATCTAGCAGAACCGCTCAGACAAGACGTCCCATCACCTGCGTTCAAGTCAGATGAAAAATGCTTCTACAACCTTGTACGGCTCCAAACAAATCCAACATTTAGCTGTACACTAGCCGACTGTTTAAAACGATATTTACATGCCTCCGTTGAAATGGTTTAGTTAACAACATGAAAAGCAACAAACCACAGGATAACAAAGAACACTGATATATGAAGACACATATATGTATTCAGCCAAATCATTCTTCGTTATAAAGTGTGAAAACAGCACCTCAGAGCACTTCAGAGGAGAACACAGGAACAGATCTGCTGCTCC